ATTTATAATTCGCTCCTTTGGTGTAACGGAAATACTTTTTGGTTGAGATTTGGCTCGAACACCCACGCTGATACTTACGCAATTTTATCTTTTATCCTGATAATTCACTGCCCTTGAAAACATACAAACATGCAAACAGATACCGACGTGCATTCAAATGCAGACAGTTGTTTTGATTCCGCCGCGCCCCCTCATCCGATATCACACTCCAATCTGCACAGGACCGCATGAATTTGAATAATTCACACACACACACACACACTTAGTCAATGACTGCAGTCCTCAGGGGGAAACCTATTACTATCTTACCAAGTTGTAATATGGCTCAAAGGCGTTTTTAATGAAAGAAAATGGTTTTCTGAATATAACTTGAAACGTATAGCTGAACAAACACAGGCTGCAAACCGGAAAACACACTTTCTTTTGAGAGTTAGATGAGAAGATCAATGCCACTCACGACACACGCAGCTCTATCGATCTTCTCATCTGACTCTTGGCAAGAAAGCAAATAAACGTGGTGGTGAGTTTCATATTTGATTACGTTGTTTACTTCTGTGGCACGCTGTATTCTTTTGGGATCCTACATGTGTAGTTATCACATACGCTATAAAACACAATTAAAAACAAACACCGGATAAGCTCCATATTTGCGTCTATTCCTGATAAAAACACCATGAGAAACACTATGAAGAGTCCACATCCCCTTTGTGATTCATGCAACATTTACTGCCATATCTGTGCCCTTGAGAGATTATTGTAGTGGCATCAGATTTTTCCGGTTCCGTCCCTGTTCCTTTACCATCGGTGGCTCGCTGTGTGTGACGGCGTCAGCGTGGAATGCAGCTCTGATCCTCATCTTGGGGAAGAGTTGTTGAAGACAAAATAGTCATTAGACTTTCCACTTTGCCTCACTTAAATAGTTTCCACCGAGGAGACAGAGACACAATGTGAAAGAGCAAAGAAAATGATTTTACTAACCAGTAAGATGCTGCCCACACTTGCTCCAGCTGGAATGTTAATCCAAAAGCCAATGTTGGTGCATTTCAGTGCTTTTCTTAGATGAAGATTTAATCAAGAGAACAGCGTTTTTTTTTACTTCTCAGTTTATTGAAATATTTAGTTTAATACGTTTTTATTAAATACAATTCCCATCAACTGATTGAAAGGAAGTGGCTGAATGCAGCTCGTGTCGTGTTAGTCCTTCGTTTTTTCCTCTTCCTTCCAAAAGCAGCTTACGAAGCGTTTCTTTTGCTTAAATTGGCTTTACTGAAGTCCGGCGGTTATTTGAACAATAAATAAGCGTCGACATCTCAGCTCAAACAACAATCTCCTGGCTGAAAGGACGTTGTTTGTTTGACCCGTCCCCTCTGTCCGCCCGCCCTGAGCGGGTTTATTTTTCCTGGTTCATGATAACGTGAATTACATAAGGATTGATTTTTGAGGCTTCTTTTGTTGGGGGGGTCACAGGTTTTGCCCTCTAGACGGATCAGAAACTTCACAGATGCTGACGTGCAGCAACTACACTTTTATATCCTACATGAAGCCCTCGAGTTTAAAACTCTTTACGGGGTCCTTGTTTGGCTGCGAGTGAAGCTAACTTTAGCTCAATTAGCCAACTTTGGCTGATAAATATGAAAGAGACACTTTTTATTTCATCTGACAAAATGATTGGTCTTTGGCTAGAAAGAAGCCAGCTTTTTTTTTTATCTCTGTCTGAAATGAAGGAGCCCGTTTTCCCCGAGGCACTGATAGATTTGAGTGATAAATCTGCCACTGTTTCCATCGTGCGCGGCACGTGCCCCTGTGAGAGAAGCCCGATATGCGTAGTGACACTATACCAACGGTCTAATCCGGATCAGTTGAGCTCGGAGCCGAGGTCTCTGAGCAGAGCATCAATCTGGTTTATCACTTTGCATAAAAGCACAAATGTTTATGATACATAGCTGCAAAGCAAATGCTGCTGAATATAATATAACTGCATTGTTCCCCTGTTCCAGGTGGACATGCTTTCACATGCGGGACTCAAGATTTACTGCCTGTTACTCAGGTCATTGACAGCTAATAAATGAATTATGGCCTCGCTAAGAAATATGTCATGGAAATAAAATCAGTCAATATGTTTCCTCATCCATGGGTTGTTAAAACGATTATGAAGGGAGTTTTTCTTGCCCTCTTCCAAACGGCGGAGTCTCTGGATCGACTATATCATGGCTGCAGGCCAGTGTAATTGCACAGAGCACCGCAATTTTTCAGATTCAGCACTTCCACCGTGTTAGAAAAGCAATCAAGATTGTCCCACAGCGATGCGCTTTATTGCTCTGCTCGCTCTCTTCTTTCAGACAAATGTGAAGTGAAACACAGAACAATGTTCAGTTACGCTCTGAGGGCCAAATCAGGCGCGAGTTTATTCTCCATCGCGTCCAAGTGTTTGTGGGCATGAACTCTCCATCTGCGGGCGAGATTCTGGCTGCTGAGGTTTGCACAGCGGGAAGATCTTGTCACTCGTTTCCTCTCACATTTCTGCTCCGTCTTCCATCTCGCTCTTCGAATTTTTGATGGATTTGTCCTGCAGGTCTTTATTCATCAACACAGAAACGTGTTCCAATTAATTGGAAGGATTGGGTACTTCAGCTTCAAACTAACCTTGTAAAGTCTAGTAATTCAATGCAAATAAACAGTTCCAGTGTCAACACATCCATATTGGATTAATTAAATGACCATTATAAATGTATTACATCGCATTTGTGAGATTTATTGGGTGTGTCTGATACCGTTGGCTCGTGTTATTGATTATGTCTGGAGCATCAGAGCAAATCCAGCTCCGGAATACAAATCTGTTTAAGCTCACAACCAAAGCCGACCGATTGATTAAAGTACTTTCTATTCATATTTGTCTCCAGCGTGCACGCGGCCTGGAGGTAAATGAGAATAAAAGGCCAAAATAATCATCCGGTTAAAATTCACAGTCACAGATTCGAGCTAGTTCGGTCCCTAAAAGGGACAACGAGTTTTTGTACTATTGACTTCTTCAAGATGCAGTGAGGCGGTTTATACTTTAAACAGAAGCGGTCGTTGCAGCACAGCTAATAATCCACAATATTTCCCTCCACTTTCGACATTCTGGCTCTGACTGTTACAAGATGGCTTTGCTGTAAGTAAACTGCTGGAATTATTATTGCAACTTGATGAAAAAACAATGTGAGCTAAGGACATTTTCATAAGCTTCAACTCATTCCAGAATACCCTCATTGAATTAAATTCAACAGCTTCTACAGTCGACTGCGTCTATTTAGTCGACCAAAATGAGCAAAAAAAACCATACATTTAAATTAAATTAACTTCAGTGACACAAAGACTCAACTGTAGCCAAACATTTGCCTCTGAATGAACCGCGGAGCAGGAAAAACCAGCACCTGTAGCCGTTCTGTCAATAAAAAAAACAAGCCATCAGTGATTTCCGTTGGGAATGAGTTTACGACACACACACACACACACACACACACACAAAAACACACCCAGAAACCAGACAGGAATTTCTGCCCCCCCCCCCCAGACAGGTGCTTATTAAGACAGCAAAGTCCTTCTTTTCTTTCTCTTGTGCCCTGCTAGGCTGAGGTCAAGAGACAGAATATGAGAGGAAAAAGCAAGATAGAGCGTGTGATGAAGATTTCTAGAAGACCACCCACCGCCGTGGAGAAGAAAGGGGGGCACACGTCGCCAAACTTCTCTCCAAACGCAACTGTTGATGCTGCAAACGCCGTACAGCTCTGTTTGGGATAAAAAAATAAAAAAAGCAACGCATGTCGTTTTCTGTTAGCGAGCCGACAAAGGATGAAACAGGGTTTTGTCAAATCTCAATGTGTCCTGGGAAGTTTTTTTTGGAATTCCCAGTGGAAATCCTTATAATTCAAAGGGCCTTTGAACTCAGCTTAAAGGTCCTTTTTTTCCTTTCTGTTCTCTATCCTCTTTTAAATGTAGCAGCATTTTTACAATATTGCAAATCCCTTTAAAGTTTGCTTCCCAACCTTCAATGACCAAACAATCTTACACCCGTTCTCAGTGAGAATAACTTTGGACTCAGTTCTGCGGAGTGTCGAGGTCTAAAACAAACTCCAGGCAACATGCTGTTGTTGTGCCTTTCCCAACCAAGTTGTTTGATATTTGAAGCCGAAGGGCGCTGAGGTTTCATATGGCGGTTACTGCTGCAGAACGGTGTGTTATTTATGATTCAAAGATCAGTGAGATTGTGTGTTGGGGGAGTTTGGGGGAGGGGGGGGGGGGACAAGGACGCCGCCTCCTCTGAAGGGTAGATGGAACATTTCTGGTCGTTATTTATTCTGTTGGCTGTTTCTCCCCCTCCTTACTCGAGTGGCATGAGTTTGAATCCGTCATGACAGCTGGCACGACAACAGAACTACGATGGTTTTTGTATTTTACATGTGTGTGTGTGTGTGTGTGCGTGTGTGCCCCGCCTGATGGCTTGCATGCTTCAGAGGAATGCCTGTGTGTCTGTGGTACTTTACAACACTCATTAAGCCTGGTTGGATGGCTACTGTAACTCATTAAATCCTAGTTACGCACGGCCCAGTGCGTGTGTGTGTGTGTGTGTGTGTGTGTGTAGGGATACAATTTACTTGGCACTAACTTAGAAGATGACGAGTGGGCAGGAGGGAGATAATACAATATATTTTGTTGTGGTTTTGTAGGAATAGATTAAAATTTTGGGCGGTGCACTTCAATGTCTTGTAAAGAGTTTGATACCAATGTGTAAGCGAGTTTAAAGGAAGTAAATATTTCATCACGTCTTATTATTATTCCACTTTAGCTTGTGGCTTTTGTCATTACTCACACTCTATGTAACTGTTATTATTATTATGCCTCAATCCAATCAGAGTCTCCTCCTGTAAAAGCTTAATCTCACTCACAATCTCATTCCACTCTGCCACTCATAATTATTAATCACCACATTTCCATCTAACCACCGTAAACCTCCTTTCTAGGTCTGATGATAATTACGAGAGTGAGCAGGTGCTCTCATCATCCTAATGCACTGGCTGGTAATGCGATCCTATGGGTGGTCGGGTTGTACGTGAGTGCCTCCCCCCCGCCGTCATCTCTTCAAATCCCTTGGGGCAAACATTACGCCCATCTGAATTATTAAAATGGACACACGTCTGGACGGTTTATCATCAGGATTAATGTATTTTCTTTGTTTTACCTTAGAGCACCTGCAGACCTACTGTCCTCCCTACGAGCTGCTGAAACCACGAGGCCTCCGTCAGCGTGGCTCCACCTCCTGCTCTCCAGTTCTCCCCATCAGCCCAAAAACAAAACGCTGCAGATGCGTCCAGCACGCCTCTCATCGCCCCCCTCGTGTCCAAGCCCTCTAGATTTTGTGTAGGTGTGGTCAACCGTCGGGAGTGCAATGGCAGTGAGGGCCAGATGTGCCCCTGTTGCATTATAGATGACGGCCTGCGTTGGGTTTCCACATCGATGTCCCGATCTCCGAGATCTGCTGCATCCGAGTGGCTGTTTTAATGTATTTTTTATTCGGGAATGTATTTTGTTGTTTAGGCATCTCTTATTGCAGTCAAAAAGTAATGTTGGTGTATTAAATGTATACACGCATTCATTTTATTGATGCTTTTATATAATAAAAAAAAAAGAATGGCCTTGAGGTGGAGAAATTAATATATGACCGTTTTTTCCGTCTCAGCAGCTGGAGGCGTTTGTCGGGGGTTTGATTGACATTAGCTGGCAATCTGAGCCCGAGCCGGAGACAAAGTAAACAAACCTCCCTGTGTGTGTGTGTGTGTGTGTGTGTGTGTGTGTGTGTGTGTTACCAACGACAGACAGCGTGTGCTGGTAGCAATGCTGGGGCAGGTGTTCGGGTGCGGCAGAGGTTAACGCATCCTTCTTCCATCTCCTCTGAGACGTGTGTCCACATCTCTGTTTTCTACCATTAAGAAGTCATTGTGAGTAATGCACACGCAGCCTTACACACACATGTGCATGCGTAGACACTGTCATACAACAGCGTGCAATATCAGTTATGAATGTGATCTGTTTTACTGATTGCATTATATTTTTAGATACAATTTTGAAAGATCTTTGCTTTATGCCTCATTTTGTTGATCCTTCTGGCGTCTCCTCTGGTAACATTAACATCCACAGTGGCTTGTCGGTCTGCGGTTTACGGGAGTAATTGTCTGTGTGGCTGCAAGCTTCCCAAAACCGCCTCAGGTTATTATTATATGAAAGAGTATCTTTCATACCTCTGAATCAATAGTATGATGAAGAGGACAAGATGAAGCTAGAATGGAAGTTGCAGAGAGTGCAGTAGAAATATAAATAATGCACATCTATGTACAGTATACCTATAATTAATAATTAACCTTTTTCCCATGCAGATGACGGTGTATTAATCATTATAACGACGCATTAAAGCAATCGTGATATTACTATCACAGCTGCTCGTGAGCGAGAGGCGGCTGGGATACGATGGCTGATTTGAATACAGATGAGAACGAGAGAGGAGGAATTCTCGAAGCTTCTCGCTGTGTGAAACTCGGAAATGCAAATCGGATTCTCCAATCATGGCGGGATTACCAGCGGGAAGCACCACCACCACCACACGGATTCCTTTCCTCCACATAGTCTGCTCCATGCTCTGGACATATTGGCTTCGAGTCACGTCTGTTCCAAAAATATTTTATTTGCACCACACTGCTGCATTGTCATAACTCAGATATTGATTTTCTTTGAATGTTTAATATTTAATATGAATGCCACTTGGGCTGTTTCCCTCCCGCGCGCTGTTTTTAAGACTGTGTTGCTGACAGGTGATTTAATGCATTTCTCGTGCACACTTATTTGAGAAACAATTGCATTCTGCAGTCACAGGATTTGATGGGAAGTAAATAGGACAGTTAAGACTTTGCTCCATGTTTTCTGTCTAGCTGACTCCACCCGGCTTCCCCGATTTTAACACTGACGTCATTGTTCTTTAAAATAAAGCTCGTAAACAACGACGCGGGTGAGGAGGCGCGTGCATGCTTGACCGAACTCGGGCTCTTTGTCTCTGGTTCAACACACAGATGTGAGTGAATGAGGAATCGCTGGACCGACGGCATCTCTGCAACGCAGGCCGACTTTGACCAACCCGTGTGGAATTTCAAGGTTTAATGAGGTTTAGTGGCAGTCGGGAGGCTGACAAGATATGAGATGTTGTACATTTCTCCAATTGACCTGAGAAGTTGGGTTTGGAGGGATTTGACGAACAACATTTTTGTGAAATCTTCATCGAGGAGCGGAAAGTAATATTTGAGCATTAATGGCAGATGGCGGTTCCCACATTGTGAGAGCAATTTTTCAGCAAACAACAAAGCAATATCCCCAAATGTCATTCTAGGTGGTGATTCCCTCGTGCACTACAGTCAGTCCCATTCGCACTGACGCACAAGTGAATTTACCGTGTCATTGTGGGGGCGAAATAAGGCTCTGCTAAACTTGGAACTACTTCTGTAGCTCTTTAAACCACAGATTTAACAAGCAGAGATTAAGACAGAAGCAGATCACACCCATTTTCTGACTTTATAAGATCTGTTTTTTTCCCATCTGCTCCTACTGGGTGTGCTCAACTCTTTTCTCTTTTTGTGTTCATCCCCCAACTTGTATTTCTACATCCTTAAGTTTAAGTCTGTGTGCTACACCAAGGAATTCTCCTAGGTATTTTTTGTGTTGTCTCTTGTATCCAGCTATTTCCCAAACAGATGCACAAAGGGGGGAAATACAACCCCATGCCCATACTGTATGTGGAAGGGAATTTACTTTTGTCAGAATCATGATCATTTTCACACAATCATCTGCGAGGTATCGCCCCTCCCCCAGCTCTCTGCTCACAGCGCCTGGATATGATGCAACAATTGCATTAAAACTGCTGAACATGTGAAGACCTGGGGATGTTTTTCCAACCAAACGTTAAACATTTAAAAGATCGCCACTGTTTTCTTTAGTGATACCTTCATGAAACGATCAGGCGCATTTTGCAGGACCGCACCACAAAGTGAGCATTGATGCACAGTCAGCACTTAGAAACTCCACTGCATCTCTTGGTGTTTGACACGATCCAAAGACACGTGACCTTCAGGAGGTCATCAGGCGTTGGAGAGATGAAGCAAACAAGAGGAGGGTGGTTTGGGGGTGGGGGTGGGGGGGAGTGGAGGGAGTCTGGAGTGAACGTGCGTGCGTCTGGGAACCAAGTGTGATTCACACGCTACTCATCACCATTCAACCCTGTTCTTTCTGTACAGAGCCTCGGGCACTTCACTGAGGGGGGGTAGGGGGGGGGCTTTGTTAGGCTTCCTCTGAGTGCTTGTGAGTGAGAGTTATACAGACCTCCTGTGAATCCACAACTGTATAACCACTGTCCATCTGACTAATCGAGGGTTTCATCGTTCATCCCTTCGCGCTTTTGTTGTCTCAGACGCAACCCCCCCCCCCACACACACGCACAACCCCCCCCCTCCACCCCCCTGCAGAAGGATACAAGTGAACGAGGAGTCAGCTGCTCCGTGCAGGGAGCGATGCCACTTGGTTTCGGCTTTATCTTATCTATCAGAAGCTGAAAGGCTGTTTGCTTGGTAGTAAGTGCAACACGTGCTTGAGGGTTGTTGTAATCCTAAGAATACTCCATGCCAACTACATCATTTACACTTCTTATATCCTTGCTTCACGTAAGCCATTTCAACAACAACCAGCTCATGAATGAGTCCCTTATGGTGCAGGGATAAATTAGAAATACAGAAATATGAGCTCAGATCGAGGCGGACCGGAATTAAGGATTAATTCCTTTCTTCTTTGTGGTGATGTTTTTTCCCTGGCGTGCCTTTTTTTGTCTTTTTTTTTAGCCTTTGTTGCATCTCGGTGGGACTGAAAATGAATCCCTGGCATAAGAACCTCACAGTAAACTCTCATTGTTCATTCATCATCGTTCAAATGAAAGACAGAGAGTTAGGTAGTTTCTTTAATAATAGGCTGCCTTAACTGTTAAGTGTGTGTGTGCGTGCGTGTGTGTGCGTGTGTGTGTGTGTGTGTGTGTGTGGGAGAGAGAGAGGGAAAGACAGTGCACATCCAGTCTGTGAAGGTCAGACACAGTGACCTTGACTTACTGTAATCACAGCGTGTGAGACATAAGAAATTATTTTCAACATCATGGAACTTTATGAGGCTTGAGTGCCACTTCACAACCCTGAAGCCTGACAATCGGTTAATTCTAGTGAACACTAGGCGCGTGGAGAGGGAGGGAACCGCTCCTGAGAAAAGGAGGGTTTCGGATTCCTCTTTAAGATTATCAGCGCACCCCATAAAACGATGAACGCACACACACACACACCGCTTCGCTCTGACAGTTTGACCTGGGCATTTGTCGATGGCTAATGCATCTGGCAGATGGCTGTGCGTGTGTGTATTGCCATGTGTGTGGTGTGTGTGTGTGTGTGTGTGTGTGTGTGCGTCTTACATTCCTGTTGGTGTTTATGTGTGTTTAAGTATTCAAGCAGAGCAGCAGCCCCGTCCCGAGACAAACAGGGTCAACGGTCAGCGGTGTGCAATAGGTATTAGCGCCAAATAAGCAAGCAATCCCAAACTGACCAGCCGGCACGTGTTTATACGCCTGCCTGACGGACGCGCCCGCCAAATAGCAAAAATCTTATCTTCAAATGAGAAATGTTTTCATTGTCATGATCCACCTTGGCTGCAGGAAATAACTGTTTGACCTCCGCTCTCTGTAGTTATTAGCATCAAAGGAATATAGGGTCCTATATTATTCATATTCAATTTTCGTATTATGCCATCTTTGCATTTAAATTATTTAAATGTAGTTATGGAGAATTCAAGGAAACAACTAGTCTTGCTCTGTCCAAAGTTACCAACACCTTAGTTTATTAAGAAAATAATATCACAAATTATCATGCTATTGCTTTAATGTTGTTGTATTTAGTCAATCTCTCCTCACAAAGGCTTGAAATAGGTCAAACTTAATAATAATGCATTCTGAGGGTCCCAGAGTTGAGACTTGTATAAATAATAATAGCTTGCCTGCACCACTTTAAAGTTCTGAAACATAATAGCTTGATATCTAAATTTGAGGTCTACAGTCTATATTATTATGTGTTATCTGTTATTAAATTAGTAAGTCGAATCCCATTAGAAAAGCCCTGGATGTCTATGAAGAAATGACGTGTTGTGCTGAAGTGTTTAGTGTGTATTTCGTAATCACAGGTTAAGCCTGCAGGGACAAGTAGAGGAATGCCACGATGGAAATATATCATCATATCGCTATCCGATGCTCTGTCAGGGATTAAGAAAAAAACATGCAGGAGCACTTTATTCGTGAGTTATTTGACTTTGTATTTGGGTGCTTTTGCAATATCTTTGCATTCCTAGCTACACACAAAGTGCTCCGCATGACCGCCACGGCAACCCGGAGGGGAAAAGTCCCTAAATCTGGTACACACCTCTCCCTTTGACACACACACACACATATGCACAAATAATGTGCGGTAAACTGGCATTCGGTTACAAGCGGGGGAACCTTTGAATGTTCAGGTTTTATAAGTGAAAACCTGTGGAGAAGAAAGTGAGTCCTGAGGGGGCCGCCGCACATTCTGCCACCTTCTTGCTTTTTGTGATGTTTCCGACCAGCAGTAAACAGGCCGACTGCAAACAGAGGTTCTTTCATCTTTCATTTCAAGCACCTGTTGAATATGTTCAGATTTCACTTGAACTTTGGGTTGAGCTGAGGTGGGGAGGGGGGTAAAGGTTTTTAGAGAGAGGAGAGTCTCACAGTCGCATTGAGTTTCGAATGGGAAGTCTAATGTCTCTGGTGACGGACTAAAGATTATTCTTCACATGCGGGCCAAACGCTAACAAAGACCTTTTGGTGTTGCGGCAGGATATCTTTTATGGCGCCTCCTGTGGAAAAGGGAAGTGACAAACAGAAACAGACTGAAACCTGAGCAGTACCATACCTGGATTGTCAATTAGCCAAAACACACACAGTGAGAGGGCCCTTTTTTAGTATACTATGACTTTATCACCATACTATTTATTTTGTGACTTTTTTTTGACAACAGTAACTTTCATGACATATTATACGTTTTATATTACATATGTATTTTTATGACAAGTTCATCACATTGGAAACAGTTTTATTCAACAAACTTTTTACTGCAGAGTAAAACCCCATGTTAGGAGACTCCTAATCCTCTTAAGATAAGTGTGACTATGAACAGGTGGTCTTGTAAAGGATGTCTCTTTTTCTGGATCCAGTCTGTGCTGCGCTACTTGTGATGATTGTCTCGGCTCTGCTGTAAATCCTCTTGTGAGGTTCAGGAAACCGGCGTGCTCCGTGTCCAATCGATGTGGACATGGAGGTGTCCTTTCACAGGAAGTAGACCAGCGCAAACGGATCCTTGGAGTTGAAGGAAGTTGATTTGGGGGTTAACAGATATAACGTTTTTCTGTCATTTCTGTCTTATGTCACGCTAAAGAAAACCGAACGAAAAATGAAAAGAGCACAAAAAAACATCAGATTCTGGTTTCGTCTAAATGAGCCAAGAAACCCAACAGAAACCGCTGTTCCATTGTAACCCCCCCCCCAATTAGACATAGGAGGAGAAGCTCAGTTGAAAGGTTAATCTCAAAGCATAACCACCTCCATCCAACACAGCGGCTGTTGTCAACTCTGGGAGCTTCGCGTCTCCTTCTGCCGCCTCTGATGGAAACCAGCAGGGGCCAGGCATCGGCCCAGTAACAGCGGCAGTGTTGTTGTGTCGCGCTGTCACCCCGGCCATGATGAACAGAAGCAGCAGCAGTCCAGGGGGTAGCAAGGGAGACGGGGGGAGGCTTACACACATCCACCTTCCACATCAAAGGCCTTCCAATCAAGATGGATTGCTCGACTAGTAAACCTACCACCCCCCCCCAAAAAAAGTTTGCATTCTTTGCCTCAGGTTGCACATTTCCATGTGTGTGTGTGTGTGTGTGTGTGTGTGTGTGTGTGTGTGTGTGTGTGTGTGTGTGAGCATGTCCTATAGAGTAACACTTTACTGAGCCATTTCCATGCAAATCAAATAAACAAATGACAGCTTGGTTGCGAACAATGAAATATAATAAATATAAATATTTGTTTAATCCTAAATGAAAACAAAAGCCTTGCTGACAGTGCGGCCGGTGACCACACTGCACGGCTCCCTCCGGAGCTCCTCCCACCTCCTCGTGCGCGCTGCACGCTGCTGCAGAGGAACCGGCGCGCACTCCACCTCTGCACAGCGCAGCGGCGGCAGCAGCAGAACCCAGAGCCGGGGAGCAGCCTGCGGCAGCACACGGTCTCCCGGGGACATTGGCACTGTCACGTCAGGCGGATATTCGGCTTTCGCGGGAATTAGAAGAGCGTTCGGTCGGTTGTGTTTTTTTTATTTTATTTTTTGGAGGTGGTGTGTTGTTTTTTTAAGGAGGGACAGCGTTTTCGTGTTGCCAGGGGAAGAGAAAGTCCAAGCAGGTAAGCATGCCAGTCAATAGATGGTTCCTTTGGCGTGGTTATATCACAGCTTGTATTTTAATTTAGCACATATTTCGTTGCTACACGATGCAGTCAAGTTGTTGACATTTCCTATGTGTTGTATCAAAGCGGGTAATAAAAACAGCCATTTTTTCTCCGGATCTCACGGTGCACGAGGGGAAACGTAGGGGATTTTTCTGATAGTAATCTGACGTAAACTGGATTTAGCTACTGAGTGTTTTTTATTTTATTTTTCATTCATGAAATCGAAGAAACGGAGGCTCAGACCAAGGCACGTGGAATGATGTGTTGTCTGTGTATTCACTAAACATGCTCTTAAACATTCCAACCCTCTAAGGAAGTTAGAAGTTTTGAGATATTTGTCTAAAGTTCACATTTTTTTGGCGGAAATCCCTAACGAGTATCGAGAAAACAACCCCCCCGAGGCAGGCGTGACAAATATTATACTCGTGAAAAGCATTTGTTTTTACAATGGTCGACTACATGCTGATGTAAGCGGGTTATCAGACCGTAATATAGGTGGTCTAATATTTTGGATTATATCTGTTATCCTGCCGGGGGGGGGCGACTCATTCATTGAAGTTAACGAGCTTTTTTTTTTTTTTGGTAAGATAAAAAAATGGGAGTAAAACGCCCTCAATACTGATGACGCAGTGATACAGTAACTCAATGATAATCGTCATCAAATGGCCTGAAGTCATGCTTCATTGATTCTGTCCCTTTGCGCGTTCATGTGCGCGCGCGCTGGTGTTTTTTGGGGGAGGGGCCAGAGGGATTCAGATGAAGTCCGGTTGCACCAGCTGTTGAGGATGATAAGCCCTCTAACATGTCCCTTAATTGCTCCTCTTGATCAACTTATCTGTGGGCTATTTAAAATGTTTCTTAGCAAATGACTAGTTTTCGCTTTGCACGAGACACTTTCACCCAAATGTGTTTTTTTCAGATCACGCGTGTAATGATTAAGAGTGTTTAATGCTTTTGAGACATCTAGTGGCCATGTGACTGTGCATCCGGTCAGGGGTCATGGGTGAATGCGCGGCTTGTGTCTTCAAGGCTCCCGGTGTCGGTGTTAGCAGACGTCAAAACCCTTCGATTCCACACCAGACCAACATCTGACCACAACAATTTCCCCTGGCCAGCATCTTATTTTCCGAGCCCCAGACTTGTAACATGCTCCTGAGATATTTTTCATAGTCTGAGTTTTAGTCTGATGGCGGGCCTTGAAATTTGTCATGTGGCTGAACTTCTAGCGGCTGTGCCGTGTGCGTGTGCGTGCGTGTGTTTACAAAAGGGAGTGAGAAATATTGGACCTTGAGCTTGAGAAGGTGTGTGGAATGTAGACAGCGGGGTCTATCTCTGTTCAAACAAGCCGGGATGAACATGTAAACAGGAGGTGGAATAACCTAAACTGAGATGTAGTTTGAGTTGTATTTCTGTGGTAAAAATGTCCATATGTCCACATCTGTTGTTTTCTTGGATTACCATTGGGACTTATAGAACCACACAGACTCAATTCTCCCTGTCGGTTTGGTCTTATTGCCTTATTGCCCCACGAAAACCCCCTCGACCTGTTTGCGATTCCGAGTCAGTAGCCTAATGATCACTCGTTGCTTCGTGACTCATGCACAATGCCACAAGACGTAAGGCAAGGCCGTTTCCGCTGTTGTCGCAGGAACGGTTAAACAAACAGAGCGCCGGTATGTGCTTTCCTGCCCAAACTGAGTCAGACAGAACAAAGGAAAAATGTAAACATGCATTACCTGCGTTGGCAACGGCAAATATCTTCGTTAGTCTCCTCATATTCATTGTTGGGACGGCTGCAATGCTTGACTCGAGTCTTCTCTGTTCTTTGTTTTGGCTAGTAAGCGTTCATCCTCCCGCTTCCTCCATTTATTTTTTGTGTATAATGAGTCTACATGGTTCGGCTAACGTGTGAGCGTGTGGTTGCAGCACCTTGTCGAGAGGCAATTACAGCTGTGTGGAGGACACAGAGAGGGGCGCCCCAGATGCCAGGGAACAAATGATCTCTGAAATGGTGTTGATCTTCTCACTGTCAACCCTGTTAAACAGGACACACCGAGGAGAGAGGAAGGAGGTGCGTGGGTCGGTTTGTTTGTGCGAGGAGATCACACATGTTGAGTGGGAGGTGTGTGTGTGTGTGTGTGGAAGGGGGATGGGAGGTTGTAGTGGGTGTGAGATTCCCCCTGGTGAGACTTAGGACATTCCTGACATTCCGACCTTCGGGATGTTTGAGGCTCCTCAGTCGTCTTCTATCGCGTCGGGTCTTTGGGAGGATTCTGGAGGGCTTTTATGTCGGTGGAATCGCACCGGCAGCTCCTTTGGTTCAACGGAAACCGCATACCCTCTAATTCAGGAGACCATGGGAACAAATAGCAGAGCGCATATTGGGCTTCTCAGGTTACGTTGGCAGATGACACTCCCAGCTAGGGTTTTGTGACCCCCTGAGACACTTGTCAGCCTGACACTTTGTCGTTCTGGTCTTTACGATTTCATAAAAATGTTTGAGCTACTTCAACTTACTTTGTCTCTTTTGCCCCCCCCCCTTGAATTATTTTTCTGATACAATATATGAGGGGAAAAAAGTGATCACATAAATATCATGGCTTCCATAATTTAACAATGTACCTATTTTCTCTTTCTCTCTCTCTCTCTCCTTCTTGTGATGCGACCTTCTGTGGGCCAGCCATGAGGGGTCATTCAGCATCTGCCGCGTCACTACAAAGCCACTTCTGACCAACTCTTATTTAGCAATCCAAAGATGTCAGCGTGCAGCGACTTTGCAGAACACGTGTGGAAACCCGGCTCTTGCAAGAACTGCTTCCACCCGCTCAGTGCACACCACAAGACTGTCGGCGGCCTGGATGGCAATGTGCAAGCCGCTTGTTTGAAGAGCATCCTGGGAGGTGATGAGGACTCTGGACTAACAGCGCCTTCGCCCTACAGCAAGCCAACCATCGCTGTCAAACCCACCATGATGAACGAGTCCATGGCTGACGTCAACATGAACATAGAGCAGGTGATTCCCTTGAATGTAAATTTCCTGTAACGTACCATAATGATGTACCTGTTCATTAATGTGCGCTCATGTTTATGTGCAACAGGAGAACATGAAGAGCCCAGTTGAGGGTATGGGCTTGAAGAAGCTGTTGGACCTGTCGTCTCTTTACATTGACAGTAACGGCTGCAACAAGTCCCGTAGAGAGGGTGTTCTTCAAAGTCCCGAAACCAAGAAGGACTTCAACAACTGCTTCTCTCTGGCTTCCTTATCCCCCAACATGCTGCCTAAAGACTCCATGATCATCGGCAATATCTTTGTCACTCAGGAGGAGGTTAGATGTTCTCAGAGTTTGAAGAACAACGCCAACGGAGACATCTGTAGGGAGCAGAATGCAACCACCACAATAACCAAGAGCACTTACAATGGAACTGCCAGAGCAAATCGCCAGGAGTCCCATCTGGCATCTGTGGAGATGCCTTTTTCTGTGGATATTGTCACTTCCAGTTCTGCGACGGTTCGTAGCAACGGCATCAGCAGCGGTGGTACTGCTGCCGTTACAAGTAAGACTTTCACCACTTCTACTACGATCCCCACCACGGCCTTGATCGGGGACACCATCAGACACAACCCTCCGCCATCCCTCCACTCTCCTCCCGTCCTTTCTGAACAGAACAGCCTATCGGACTCCTCTTGTTCTTACCAAAGTAGCACAGATTCGCTTCCTGGAGCGGAGGGGTCCGGAGGAAGACAAGTAAAGACAGGGAGACCCCAAAGCCCAACGGCCATGGGCAGCTTACAGTCAGCTCCCAGCTCTCCCAATGAACAACTGGACTCAGAACCCATTTATGCACAGAGCACCAAAATAAAGCGCAGGCCACAAGGAAATGGGGTGCAGTCCCATCTTGTGTCCCCAGACCAGACAAAGAACTCATTGAAAAGCTCTGAGCATTCAGGAGAGAGTCAGCGGGCCACCATCACAATAATGGCCGCTCACACAGAAGAGAACAGGACTTTCTACCTGAGCAGTCCAGATTCAGCCATCAGCACCCAATGCCACTTCAGCCCCACGGCACGCAAAGACCCCAGCAGTCCGGCTTTCCGCTGGCCCAGCCCTAGCCACAGCCACAGCGCCCCCTCTCTGACCCCAGAAGCCAGCCTTAGCCCAACTCTCTACCCCAAGCCTCAGTCTAGCCCACCCATTCCCCCGAAAAGGACCACCCGTTCCCCAAAACTGGGCGCCTCCAGCCTCTCACCGGCCATCTCGTCTCCGGTCCCTCTTCCCGATCTCTACAGACCGGGCACCTCCAGCCTCTCACCGTCCCTCTCGTCCCCCGTCCCACTTGCCGATCTCTCCAGACCAGGCACCTCGAGCCTCTCACCGTCCCTCTCGTCCCCCGTCCCTCTTGCCAATCTCTCCAGACCGGGCAGCTCCGGCCTCTCACCGTCCATCTCGTCCCCCGTCCCTCTTCCCGAGCTCTCCAGACTGGGCAGCTCCAGCCTCTCACCGTCCACCTCGTCTCCCGTCCCTCTACCTGAACTCCCGATGCTTTTCCTCGTCTCTGCGAGAGAGGGCCACTTCAAGGTCCAGCCCGAGAACCACAGCGCAGCGGTAACTGAACGCTGGCACAAGCCTCACCACCACAATTCTGGCTGGAACTGTCGCATAGAGGAGGAAGAGGAGGAGGACGAGAGGGAGCCAAAAGAGAGGCAGAAGAAGAAGTTGGCTGCCAAACCGTGGACAACATCTCCGGTGACAAGCTTGGTAAATGGGGCTGCCGTCTGGAAGGAGGCCAGGGACTCCAAGGCCCAGAGCGGCCCCCCTTCGATGACAGAGCCAGGCACGGCCCCCCCAGCTGCCCCCAACAATGGTGCCTGTCAGGGGGAGGGCAAGGGCACCGGTGCAGAGGAGGAAGACAAGCATAACGGGAGCATGCCGTCCAAGCAGCCGTTGCACGGTGGCTCATCGGAGCTGCTGGCAGCAGGAAAGGGAGCTGCCAACAATGAACCCAACGCACCACCTCCCCCACCCAAGAAACTGCACAGGTAAGAATACCAGAGAACCTTTTTTGTTAGGCTTTTAAACATGCAACTGTGAATCCACTAATAGTTGGGAAGACTGCCTACTGTTTCCATCCCAGATGTGTGATTATTTGATTTGATCTTTTTTAGCTAATCACAGTCAAATGTCAGAAATGCTAATTATCACCATCAGCATGGTGCTTCGTATGTGTTTTATTCCATTCCAAGATCCATCAACAATTTTCTTGCAATTTATTTTTTCAAAACTTTCTTTAGAGCAGCTGAAATTCAGCAGTTTGTGTAATTTCCTTCATATAACCTATTTATAATTTCTTACAAAATTCTTTATGCTGATTGAGGGCAAAGCGCACCAAATATACCAGCAATCTGAAGAAAGGGTTGATCTTAACTATTATTTATAATGCGGCACAAAAGAATGTAAAAGAAGTCTTCTGAAGGTTTAATTACACACTAGTATACTAAACACTTGCTGAAAGGTGAATACTATGCATTTATCAAAAGTGAGCTGCCCATTATAGCACATTTTTGCGTTCCTTTCCTTCAGGCTTACCTTTGACTTGCATGAGAGCTAATGGGAATGTAATTTAGCCCTGGCACTAAATTCTCTAGTTCAGCACTTTCAACATGCACTTAGCCTAAATGTATAACTGCATATGGGACTGTATGTGTACGTAGTGCTAGTGCCGCTGATGGAATCTAAGCTGTGACTCTGCACATGTTTGCATCTTACTGCAGTCATCTGTGTAAAGCTCACTGTGCCTTCCTCTTTCATAGCACCATTATTCAGCCTTGAATCAGCCTCCATTCTTGCAGCTTGTGATCATTCAAACTGTTCCGGCACGTTCCTCAATGCATGCCTTGTTCTATTCATGCTAGTAATGTGGCTTTTTCAGTTCTAATTAACACACAAAATGGGTCTGTTAAATAGTCCCCTGCTCTGTCACGTTGCTGTAAATTAGTTTCGACTGCAGCATAATAACTGTAAAGAAAAAAAAGCTGCCCTTAAAATAACATATAGGGACAAAGCTTTCATTTGTAGACATTCAAATGGATCGTTAAAAAAAGTAAAATATGTTGATGCTTTGCAACATTATTTAATTGCTTCACTTGCAGGAAGTGCAGAATAATTCCTGTTCCCTTATTCAACCCACACCATTGTGACCTACTCCTACTCAAGGCTACGAATCTAAGTCTGCACGGGACTAAGAATACACTGCACGGTCAGCTACACTATAGAAGAGAAACAGAGACGAGGCCTGGTGTTATTAGCTATTAAAGCATCAAATGAACCCCTCAAAATTGAACTTGTTTGGTCTGGGCCGACATGATGAGGTGTAGGAGACAACTGTGACTTCCTGAGGACAAACAGATGTTCTGCCATCTTGAGCGGCTCGAGTCAGCAGAAGCTGAGTAGGAGTGTTTCACTGTCAAAAACACAGACTGCTCGTCACATTTCAAAGGCCCTCGTGTTTGCGGTAATTCTAGCAAGGACCCTTCTCTCCTGTTATGACATTGCCGACATTCTGCGCCGATAAAAATACACCTTGTTGCGGCACATGTGCGAACGCACCTCGAGCCAGCCAGCGACGGTCGGGGCTTTCCAAGTTTATCGGCGAGTTTAGTGTGTTTAACCAAGTGTGACGAGGTGCTGCACATAACTAAAATCTAAATAATGCCATTTATCATTTGAATACGACAATCGCCTGCGTGTGTGTGGAGTGAATGGAAAATGGCGTTTTGATGTGCTGAATCATTTAAAAGCCGCAGATGGTTGGAAAGATCTGCCTCCCAGAGCCTTTGATCACAGTGGAAAGCACCAAATGTCCCCTCCTTCGTTCCTCGTAACAGGTCCACCTACATGGGATGTGGTGGGTCGGTCTAAGTGGTGTCCGTGCACGTACCTTAAGTGCCGCACGTGTGTAAGTTCTCTAGACGCCACCCGGCTTGTCATTGAATGTTGCCAAAGGGGGGGGGGGGGGGGGCTTTAGTGAACAGATTGTTGCCACCGGCAACTCCCAAAGAATTCCTAGATCAGCCACGGGGATTCAAGTCCGCTGCCTTTTGCTCTCTACACCGTCGTTCTTCGACGTGGCTGCTCCTCCTCCCCCAGAGCCGTCCCGATCCGAGAGCATCTCGTGGCCGCCAACCGCTACGCCAATGACTGATTGCTATATATGAGGTGTGGGTGCTCAGATCTTTGCACATCTAATTGATGCTGTTGCTTTTCTCGCTGAGAGGGACTTTAAATACACGTATGACCGGTGTGGAGCCAGGGTTGTGTTACTACACGTGGCGGGGCTTTAGAAAGCCGCCAGTCTGATCCGGGGGTACTTTGTGCCGTGGTGGCCGACGAGGACATTTCACCGGTCCAGCATGAGGTAGGAACCTGATGGCATCTGTAGGCTCAGTAGCTATTGACTATGCATCTAGAACTGTGTAGGGAAGTGGTTTTGTTTCTGTTTGTGCAGAGAAAGTGACTAGTTCCGTATGGCCCCCTCACACGATGACTTTTTGCCGTTATTCTTCAAGTGCATTTGATGTGCAAGGGGCAAATAAATGAAAGTGGCTTGTACTGTATAAGGGTTTAGGAGATAGCTGACAGTGAAGAAGATAATAATGCAGGGCTGGAATTTGCAAAAGATAAGAGGATTGGTGTCAACCATTAATGGATCTGTGTTTTCAATCATGTCAGTCTTCCCTGTGCTGTGGGACATGCAAAGTAGGCAAAACGACACATGCACAATGTGATGCATTATAATATAGCAGCAATGTAACGAACAAAAGACTTTTGTCATGTAAAACAAAAGGATAACTTAGAATTTTCCAATACAATAACAAATACAGTTCCAGTCATCAGAAATTCAACTTAAAGGTTGTGAATGTTGTTTGGCTGTTATCATTGGATCTGATTACATTGTACACTGTGTTGCCTGTTCAAGGGTGAAAGTTTCTCATCTCTTCATTCTTGTACTGAAATATCATTTTCTCTACATTAAAAAGGCCATGAGAGGGAGTGTATCGATGTAACAACATGCAATTCTTTGTGACGTTGTAATATATTTCCTCAGGAAGTGAAACCGGTCGCGTAAACCTGATCCACAACAGCACTGCAGTTTAGTTCGTTTCTCATTTCGCACTGCTATCTTTTTTTTTTAACAAACTCCCCCAGATACCGTCACACACCTTTTTACTAATACCGCACAAACACATCCGGTTAGCATGTGGGTCAACAGATCCCGTGTCACAGTAACCCAGGTTTAGAACACACACCACTATTTATTAATAGACGTTGAGACTGAAACTGGGCAATCCGATCGTGAATCCTGAAACGGTGCTTTTTGGGGGTTTGGATTTTTGTACTCTATCAGGTTGCAGATGAGGGGTTTCATAGCTGAAATTAGTCCGTCAGCAGAAAGGAATTGCAAATATCATGTCTCTCCTCTGCCTGACATTACAATAAATAATCCCTAATCAGACAAATCTTTTTGGTTGTTAATTGCAGCCCCTGAATGTCCTGTATATTCTCACACGCGGTCCTAATCCGATCCACGGTCTCTCTTTTGCACGGCCTTGCTCAGAAGACTCATTCAATCCGCGCTCATCCTCCCGCAGGACGCATGCGACGGCATTCCTTCACCGAGGAAAATCTCTTGTTTTGGATACAAATCTGAGCGATCTGGAGTGCACGTTGCACTATCCCCCCCCCTCAGTACCGTTTCTCCTCCCCTCAGCGTTTCCACGGCTTTTCATCCCCGTTCTCTTGTCTGTAAAATGATAGCGGATCCTTTAGCTAACTGCCCGTAGAACACCTAACCCTCTGTCTCCCCCCTGTGCTGCTCTCCTGTTCTCCCCCCCAGCTGTTTGTTCTGCTGATTTATGGTGGGATTGAAGTTTGGGGGGTTGAGTGTGTGTGTGTGGGGGGGGGGGTGGTCATTTTGGAAAAGGAAGCGAGGAAAGAGGGACGAAGGGATTGGATCAGGCCTTGCTTCCCTGAGCCATTAGCATGTATAACGAGACAAGTGAATGGCTGTCACTCAACTTAATTGGTCACCTTGATTAGGAAGTCCAGTCATGCGCAGGTTTCACTGCTATTGTAAGTCTCCATCATGCTACTCAGTTCAAACGGACAAGGTGAATGCAAACCGTCTCTCTGGCAAGGTGGTGTGACTTTTGAAAGTAGAAACATCAGAACATTTCTTAAACATGAAAGGTTGAATGAGAATTAAACACACACTTACTCAATTACTCAACACACCTTTTGAAATATTTGTGTGGTATACTATGCATTTGTTCATTGTTCAGGCTTATTCCCTTTCAGACATAATACAAAAATCGAATGTCCCTATTGAAATAGGAAGTGAAACTCTTTTACGTGGAGGCATCAGTGATACAGAGTGCAGATAAGGAAACGTGCAGGGGAAGTGGAGTGGCTCCACATTTACGAACAGATGCATTTCAGCAGAAAAGCGTCGCACTGAACGAGCAGTGGACGCTCCACTTGGATAGATGGAGTCAGCGATGTCAGCAATGCAGACACAGAAAGTTCCCCCAAAACGACCTGCCCCTCGTTTTTACTCACCCCCGTTTCTGCTGTTTTCTCTCCATCAGAGTTTCTAGCAAGATGAGCGGCAGCAGCATGGAGCTGGATCGCTGCAGCCGACAGGCGTCGGCGGAGAGCCCTCCTCCATCCCTCGGGGGTTTGGGCTCCAGCGCTGCTTCCACCGACAACCTGACTGGGGACACTGGTAAATAACACCGGCACACATGCTATGAGACAGATTTAAAGGGGCCTTCTGGCCCCGTATCAGATAAAGTCAACTATTGTTGACTTTTACAGACGTGTCCTTTTGGTTTGTAGTTTCGCCGCATCACGACGTGTGAATGTGAGGATGCACTTTGTCACAGTGTAACAGGAATGAAAAGAGGAAAGGGAGCGTCGCGAGGTTTAACCGCAGCGTCTGTCAGCATTACCTCTTCTCTTCCCCTATTTGAATTACACACGCGGTTTGGTTTACTTTCACGACGCGAGTTTAATATTTCTGCAATCATTAAACCGAAGGAGTGGCACAAGGTCCTTGGCTTTGAAATTGCTTTCGACCTTCACGTATCCTCTGTGGCACAGACACTCGTAATCGCTGTAACTTCCTGCGCGATGTTGTTTGAAGAGCTAATTATGGACTCTGATAACGAGGGAAAAAGGGCTTGGCTACATCCTACAGTATTTTCTTCCTCCCTTTACAGTCTCCCCCTCCTCTGCCAAAGCAGCGTTTGAAGACTGCACCAGTCAATTATCTCAGTATCGGTCTCCTCTAGTCATGTCATGTCACGTTCTTACTTTAAGTCTTTAATTGACAAATGGATCATAATTGGATGGAATATGTTTTGAGTGTCTGCTTGGACCGTGGATTGTGGAAGTATCCAGCTGTGTTTAAGCAACGAGGTAGGCGTTTTTGTGCTGAGCAGTAAGCAGTGTCAGGAGGAGCCTGTGAGCACTGTTGGGTTACAGGGTTTCTCTTACAAGCTCATTGAGAAGGTAAATTCCACTTATTTGTCCTTTTTAGTGGAAAATATCAACGGGCCTCTGTCACCTGTTTGTTCCATAATAAGCTGCGGCTGATTGGCTGAGTTAAGCATTAAGACCAAGAAGAGGGGCAAACGGTTTGCATGGCTGCGTCCAGCACCTTGACGCCGACGAATTCATATGTTGGTGTGTTCTGATTAAAAGTGTTTTCTATACCTCATTTTCATCTTGTTCTTGTCCCTTTTGTGCCGTGCTTTGCAAAGCTAAGTCTGATCGCTGTAGCTTCATCTCATCTAACTCTCAGTGAGAAAGTCAGTAATCGCATTCCCCAAAATGTTTTTACCTATTGATATTCTGAAATGCAAAATTGAAATAAACCGTCCGGTGCGCCTAACCGATCACGGGCCGGCTTTCCTTTCATTTTAAAGAGACTTTATTTGTCTCCTCTCAGGCTACCGGGATGCTGCGCGGCTGTCTTGCTCCTCTCCATTCTCCCGGAGTCCGGCGGCCTCGGCTCCAGGGTCTCCGCGCCCGCCCTCCCTCCGCGGCTCGGGCACCCAGCCTCCCCCGCTCCCGGAGAAGAAGATGGTCAACCGCACCGCGTCGGCCCCCGACAGCGCCACGGGACGAGGCTCCGTCCGAGCGTACCCGAGGCTCCCGTTCACCGGCTCGGAGAGCAACGTGTGCCGACCCGCCGCCGACGGCCCCCGCTCCAGTTTGCCGTCCAGCCCTGTCGACCCGCGGCCCGTGTTCTCCTCCAGCGAGTCCCTGGAGCGCGGCCACGCCCCGCTGAGCCGCCCCTCCTGGTCGCGGACGCTGGACGAGCCGCTGAAGACTCCCGGGCGCCTGGGGGCCCACGGTCGAAGCAGCGTCACCTGCTCCTCGTCCCCGCAGCTCAGCGCGCCCTTCTCCTCCTCGGAACCGGGCGCCGCGGCGAACCCGGGCTCCAGCCTGCAGCTCCAGACGCTTCTGAGCAACATGGACAGCAGGGAAGGCGTGTACTCCAAGCTGGGGGGCCTGTACGCGGAGTCTCTGCGCCGCTTGGCCCTCAAATGCGAGGATCACTTCACTCGCTCCCAGAGGAACCCGCTCAGGTTCGAGGAGAGCAACTGGTCGCTGTTCAGGCTCACGTCCAACAAGCCCAGCTGCAACTCAGGAGACGCCGTGTACTACTCCGCCGCCTGCGCCTCCGACCCCAGCAACTCCTACGCCGTGAAGGTAGGAGTCATGAGCCTGACTTTGTTCATGGGGGGTAACAAAAGATGCAGTTTTATAACAGAGGAGGAGTTAAACACTCTTTAGGTTGCTACTTTGCCTGAAATACACATTTAAAGAAGCAAGGTGATGTAGTTTTAAGTAAGATATCAGTCAATTATGAGCCCTTTTCTGTTGGGCCGTGAAAAACAGCACGGCAGGAAAATGTATGACTTCGCTGATCCTTTTATTTAACTTCAACTTAAATGCTTCTATAGTAGAACAATGTCAGTTAAGTCAATGTCAGTTATTGGCAGTTAAGTTCAGAAATTTAATACGTTTTTAACTGGGAATCTGAAAACTTATTCTGGAGTTACTGATAATTGAACCTGATCATTATTGCATTGATGACTTAAAATAAGATTAGACAGGAACAAGTGTTCTGGCTTCGGCTGTCGTGTTTTTGTGATTTATTCTGTCCACTCAGACGTTGCACACTTAAGACAATCTTTATTGTTTGAAGAACAATTTACTCAGCGGGTGAAGTTTAGGACGGGTTTTGACAGTTTGAGGACAGAGGGAGGAGCTTAAGATCGGGCGCTGGTCTCGCTTGTTCTTAAAACCACAGTACAAACCTTCAGGGGTGGTAGTGTAAACAAGTAGGAAGAAGGGTGCGGATTCACACTCGCTGACCTTTGTCCCAAAGTGATTAGTGTTGCGCATAGCAGCGGCTTTTTGTACGGCGTGTGCCGGTGTGCCCGCAGCCTTGCTCAATATCTCTAGGTCCAGATTAATCTTTACATTCCAGTCAGGATTTAGAGTCAGACAAACCTCTGTTCGTGAAGAATGAGCCCGTCCGGCTCAAAGACCAAGTGTCATGTTGTAATATGAATTCAGCGTTTGTTTGGGTTATTTAGGGAGGGTAGTGTTCATGTATCGCCTTACACCCAAGTTTACTCTTTCTAAGCTCTTCACTTTTGGGTTTGATTGGGTTTGGATCTGCGTCGCACACATTGATTTCACCGGATTCTGAATCAACGTTGACCTCCCACAAGAATTCCTCTCTTATGTTTCTTGGCTCCACTCCCTTCCCGTCTCTGCGTGGGGAATCATTCTCTCCCTCCCTCCCCTCCCTTTCGTCTCCTTCGCTTAATCCTCCCGCTGATCATTGTGTTTATCCCCCTCCCCAGATCTGCAAGAGCCCATCCATGGAGGCCAAACAGGGCCATCTGTACGGCCTGTCCGTGCTCCAGAGCATGCCCCCCCACTTCAACCTGCAGCAGGACTGCGGCCACTTTCTGGCCTGCGTCCCCCAGAGCATGTTGCCCTCCGACGAAGTCTCCCTGCCCGGCACCTCCGCTTCACCGCTGCACCAGCCGCCCGCGCCGGCTCAACAGGCGGAACGGGAGCGGGTGGTGGTCATCGCCTCGGAGATCCCTCGGCACACGGCGGCCGACTTTGTCCGGGAGTGGGCGGCGTTCCATAAAAGCCAGCCAGAGGTGTACGAGCGCCGCGTGTGCTTCCTCCTCCTGCAGCTGTGCCACGGCCTGGAGCACTTGAAGGAGCACGGGGTCACGCATCGAGACCTCTGCCTGGAGAACCTGCTGTTGGTGCCACATCTGCCGCGGCCCTCCAAGTTCCCGCAGCAAACCGCCGCCGACAACGGCAGCGGTTCGGGCGGTGCCGAAAGTCAGCGCCACCTCCCCCGGCTTCTCATCAGCAACTTCGCCAAGTCCAAGCGGCGCTCGCCCGAGGACGCCGCCTCCGCCAGCGTGGACCCTCGCGTCAAACGGGACCACGCCCGGTTGGCGCCCGAGATTCTCTCGGCAGCACAGTACCGGAAATTTGACGAGTTCCAGACGGGCATCTTGATCTACGAGCTCCTCCACCAGGCCAACCCGTTCGAGGCGAGTCCGGCCCTGAAGGAGCAAGACTACCGCTGCGAAGAGTTGCCCCCGATCCCTTCGGTGTCCCTGTACTCCGCCGGCCTCCAGAGGCTGGCGCGGCTGCTGCTGCAACCCGACCCCATCAAGCGCATCCACATCCAGGAGGCCAAGCGCGTCCTGCAGAGCCTGCTGTGGGGGCCCAGGAGGGACCTGATGGAGCAGCAGCGGGAGCGGGGCGGCCAGGGGGTCGGCTTCGTCGCCGGGGCCCGGCACGAGGGCCTCCTGAACTGGCTGGACGTGAAACGGGCCCTGCTGATGATGAAGTTCGCCGAGCGCTCGCTGGAGCCCGAGAGGAACGCGGAGCTGGAGGACTGGCTGTGCTGTCAGTACTTCTCCTCGGCCCACCCTCTGTCGCTCTGCCACACGGCCGAGCTGCTCTACTCGCTGAAGTGATGCCTTTTCCCGGACTCTCCACGCGTGAAGATTCACGTGTCTTTAAATGCTCCTGTAACAAATGGACAAACTAATAAAAGGATTCACTCAGCGCCGTGCCGGTGATACGTCTGTAAAAAAAGGAAGAATATGAACAGTGTTCATAATCCTGTAATACACTTACCAAAGTTTCTATTGTATTTATTAAATATCAATTATGACATTTTTTTACCCACTGAAAACAGCTTAATAATTCATAGCCGGATTCTGTCAGCTCGTCAGCTTTGATAATAATGCCGCGTCGTATCCACGTAAATGTGCAGCTAACTTTTAATTTGAGTAGAAATATGAGGTCAGTCGCACACTTACACGGTTGTGTTTATTCACGGGCTCATAGTGCCGCACTGTAAACAACACAAGTTCCAATTAAACTTAGATCAATCCACAGGAACGTACATAATAACGCCTGTTCTTCTACTCGCTTCACAGAGCTCGTTAGACATCGTTGCATTCTGGCCACATCGTTTGAATTCATCATGAGCCATAGTGTCCAACAACTTGATATTGATCGGCATCAACTGGTTCTGCCGAACGGATGTTACTTTCAGTATGTGTTTAAATGTTTTTACATTTGTAACCGTGCCTTTTGTTCTTTGTGTATGTTTCAGTGGCACAGAAGCCACGTGTAAATATTACTGGTCATTCGTCCTTTGTGAAACTGGCCTTTCACGGAATGTTCTAGAAACACCCTTTTGTACAGTAATTTGTAAATGATGTTAGAAGAAGAATGAGCCCAAGCAGGTCTTAAAAAGCCATGAATATGAACAGGAGTTTAAAAAATATATATTTATGATACAATTTGCTATCCTGTAAACGCCACTGGAATTTCTCTGTTTATTTTTTATATGTGGATTATCAAGTTATTTGGGTTTTCTTTTGGCGCTGCAGCAGCTGGGCCTGTTTTTAGCCTCCTGCGACCTTCAACTTCCTGAGTATTTTATCTTCAACAGAGGAATTCTTAATAAAGACAAGAATTTAACAGCCTGCCCCAGTTTTTAGTCCATGACTCACTGGCGTTTCTGATGTTGTAGCGAGAGAGAAAAACATCCAGTCAGATCTCATACATTATTCTTTTTGATTATTTTGTGTGTGCCTCACCTATTTGCAACTATCAATAAACTGTGCATATATTTTCTCACAGTGTTAGCTGGTGTTCGGGTCAGTTCTTATGCGATGCTTTAATTGATTGGGCCTTTAAAGGATATAGTAATGTTGTTATTACCGGCAGCCTCTGCTGTTAAACTAACGAATGCAAGCAAATGACTCCTAAATACCTTGCATGTACAAATGTACTTTTATTTGTTAAAAACGTAATTCCCAACTTAGAATTTGCGTTTTTCTACATTACGTAAGCAGCGCCGTGTCTATTGTGATTGCACATCATTTACAGTATTTATTTGTGAAAAGATTAAAGCAATTTGGACAATTGTGAAACTGGAAAGAATATGAAGCGGTTCAAAGGGGGGAAAAGAACTCTGCTGAAAGAGAAGCGGTTGCTGTTGTGTGGGAGGCCTGGAGAGCGCCGCGCGGATCAACACAACAAGTTGTACGTGTCGTTGCATCTCAATTTTGAGTTTTGAGCCTCGGGGCCAAAACTAGACCCCTGACTCCCGGATCCCTCCCCCCATGTGACGTTCCGCCTCACATCACTCCTTCAAAACCACTGGCTGCGCCCTTGTCATAGGTGGAACTATGTTGCTATGGGTTTTGACCAATGGAATGGCATTTCCATGTCAGTCTCCCTCACACACACTCACACACACACACACACACACACACCGGGGGAAGCAGCTTGTTGAGCAAGAATCCAAATAGCCCCTCGGTAACAACAGCACGGCCCACTCCTTTGTTAGTCCAGGGAACACTGTTCAGGAGGCTGCATACTTTACTTGGGCGAACACACACCCCAGCACACCGTCTTCAGCGCAGGACCAGAGGACAAAGGAAACCAATTTGGTGCGAGTGCTGCTGCTGCTGCTGTGGAACAACTTAACTGTTATCGCTGTCAGACTATTAGATCTTTCCTCGTTTTTGCATCCATCTAACAATGGCACCTTAGAGAAGCATAACTGGTGCTCGTGTTTAACCTGTACTTATGTACTCACCCCACTGGAAGTTTGGATATTGTTGACTGGCCCAGCTGGTCTTAGGGAAGCTGTCTGGTTGGGCGGTGGGGGGTATTTGACAAGAGCCCGAGGTGCTCCTGCTCCTTCGGGATAACAGACCGAACCGCCCTCACTTAGCACTGGGGAGAGTTTCCAAATGAAGGAAAGGGCCTCCTGACTGACTCCTCGTTGCTGTGGTTTCATGTTTGACCTCCCGGCCTGTTGGTTTATACTCAGTGCCGTCTGTAACAACTAATTTCTGCTGTGTGTTTAGACTATGGGTTTCGCCCCTTTACCGCTTAAACAAAGCTCAAAACCTGAAGACATTTTTCAAATCACCTTTTTCACAAAATACATTTGGACTTTCGACAAGCATGAAAATGATTGCTGGATTCCTTTTAGCTGCTCTGAATTGTTTGTGCTCGCTCACTGGTGCACTTAAATATAAAAGAGGCATAGAGCGCTTCAGGGATGATGCATTTTTGTAGACCAACCCCAGAATTTAGCATTGCGCTGATGGGGAAAAAAAAGCCAATGGGATTTTTCCATCAGAAGAAATCAGGCTGTGCAGCAAATATACGTTTTGCCATGTAGCCACTTGTTATCAACCTCCTTTTTAAGACAAATAAAACAACGAATGGGATACTCAGACGTTTTTCATATTGTAGAATAAAAAGTGCAAATCGGTTAAACTTATTTCCCGCATTCCAACCCAAAAACGTTTTAAATTCAAATATATGACGGAGATCAAGGAATCAGAAGTGCAAAACTGTGAACTCACTTCTGGGCTTTAAGATTTATTCCTGGAGCATTTATTGTTAATGTTGTAAGACCTCATCTTTATCCACAAGTTCAAAATGTGCAAATAGGAAACGTATGATTCAGCAGACGTCACAGCACTGTTCTCCAACTAATCACAAAGGTCAAAGGGACACGTTAGCCAACAACCCACGCGACCATCTTCCCATTAAAGTGTATTCACAGCTGCCTGCTATATTTCTTTCAGGTATTTCATTCTATCAATGACCACATTGATTTACCGATGTGTGCGGCCGTGGCGCAGCAGATGACGCCCTGTTCTGCGTCATCTTACCAAGGCAGGTTTGGCACTGTAGGGCTCGATAGTACAGAATGGGGAAAATAGGACTTGGGGGGGTTACACCTCCTGACCTTTGCATGTACTTTATCTTCCCTTTATTTGTCCCTCTGGCACTTTCGCTTAGCGTGCTGCAAAAAGAAACTCCATTAATCTTTAATTAAAACAGAGAAGCCTCTAATCAATAATCTATGTAGTACACATTTCTAGTAGTATCCTGACATCTAGTGGCTCAATTCAACACTACACCATTAGTTTTTCTCCCAATTCGTCAGTGATCCAAATGTGCTTTTGATTGAAAATGTGGTTGTTTTATACGATTCTTGCCGTAGTACAAAAGTTATGAATGTTGTGTTGTGATGTTGTGCTATGCTACGATAGCACTGTTTGAGAACACAACATCCTGTCCCACTGGGGCTACAAATGCACTCAGAAAGGTTGTGACCTGCCAAACTTTATTTTTCTTAAATCAAAACAAAGCACAGTATTAAAAACATTTTAACACTGTTATGACATCCACCCACTGTCGAGTGTGTGAAAGAAATGCCATCAAGCACTTTGGCCGTAGAATCATGCTCACAATTAACAGGAGTCAAACCAGTTTGTTTGGTCATGAAAAATAATTCAACTTTTTAGATTACTTTACATTACTATCAAAAAGTGAAATTCATCATGCCAAAGCAGACGGAGGTGAAAAGAAGATTTGCAGAACGGTGAGTTTGTGACGCTCAAACGCTCATTGGATTTTGTGGTCAGGAAAACGGTTTCGGTATGCAGCCTGTGGTGAGTGGAGCACCAGGTCCTCAGGCAGGACGCAGGTGGGATCAGCCCGGGGGAGGGACGGAGGGAGGGAGGGAGAGAGGAGAGATTTCAAGGGTTCTTGGAAGTGGGGTTGGGAACGGGTTCTTGTTTGGAGAAACGGGGAAAAGTGGGACATGGGAGGGCTGATTTTCGAGGCTTTGTTTTCATTTCTTCTTGGGTTTATCCTCCAAGGGTAGGCCAATGTCCTTCCCACGCAGTTTCAGCCCTGTTGACACAAGATGAACGAGGAGTTACCTTTTGCTACGGCTGATTCTCGGACAAGAACGTCGGTTTAACACAACTGGCCACTGAGACGGAATCATCATTCAATTTCTGTAAACACAATTCTTACCGATCACTCTCTCGATCTTGCCCAGGACCTGGTTGTTGGGAATTGCTTTCCCACACTCGTAGTCTGCGATGACTTGAGGCTTCTCATTAATTTTCTGGGAGGAAAAGATTTAATAAATAATTTATAATTTAGTTATAACAAACGTCAGCGAAACCACTCATGCATGCAAAACACTTCCTGCAGCTGAGCATCCTTTTTAAGGACTAATAGAACTTTTTCTTTAAATAATTAAGCAGTAACGGTCATATTTATGGATATATATCATACCTAAGATACTGTATTCATTAGATGAAAACCTCACAGTCAGGAATCTACCGGTCTACTTCCTTGGCATTAAACCAAGTTGGCGTTATGCTAAATGGGGCTGCACATTGGTGTGTCATCACAATAAATGTTCTGTTGTGGATTATCTTGATTTCCTGCAAGGACATCCGTTAAGGCTACATTTTGTATGAGGATATATGGTACCTATACTCACAGTGGCGAGGTCTTTTTGGGTCAGACCTTTTTCCTGTCTGCCTTGCTGAATGTACTTCCCCACCTCCAGGGGAACCCTGTCGTGGTGCAGCTCTTCGGTCTCACGGTCCAGTTTGGAAGTGTTCTTCGTCACAAGATGCTGCTTGTTCTGCCCCGCGGACCCTGAGTGACGAGCAGTGGATCAGAGTCACGGCAGTGGAGCAACATCAGCACAAGCACAGCACGAGAAGTTAAATTATTTCAATGCTTCTGAGGTCCGTTTCTCCGTTAAGTTACTATTTGGAAATCACACACGTGTACAGATGGTATAAATTTACATTTTTTGGATGTCTCAACGTCCTCCCCGCGTCTCTGAGCAGCGGCGATTGCCTAGAGAAAAGATGGACATCTTAAATTTCAAAACATAATCCAGATTCATAGACTGCAGTAGTGCATTACGAGCAGGCTCCATAAAAGATGTTTGCTTATCGTTATAAATTATTTAACTTGTCTGGGTGTGACGCATGAATTAAACTGACAACTTGATCTTCCTGGTAACCTTTAATTCACATGAATAACTGTACACCCATCTTCACACTATAGCATATTCAAATGTCCCATTAGAACTAAAGGTTACTATAGCAACGCCAGGTGGATGTTGACTTGCAGCACGGTCGTTTAAACACACGTTAGTTTCATGTTATGAAAGCAAACAACACGAGACATAGTGCACATTATGCTGCATATCGATTGGACATTTTCACAAAAGATCCACAAAAGATCATACCTTTATTTGTGTAGCGGCGTTAGTTATAACTAGCGTCGACTCAACGGACGTTAGCTAACGTTATACCGAAGTAACTTATTACCGTTAACGAACTTAAAATGTATTCAGGTTAGTGAAGCTAACGCTAGCTAGCTAGCTGCTATTTTGGTCACAGTCGAACGTTAAAGCACACCGCGCCTCACCGTCACGATGTCATCTCTGATAACGTCGGTCACTTCTAGCGGAGCTTTGCTTAGCCGAAAGCGACTCCCGAATCAACCACGATAAAATCACGACATTAAAGTCAGGTTAACTGCCGTTAACGTTACACGTCCACTGTTGTTATTGTTAGCGGTAGCTAACTTAGCTTAGCCGAACCGAACCACGACGCGTGGGGGACGTTAACGCGCACCACCACGTGTAGAAATAAACGTGTCTTTACAAACGCGACCTGCACCGGGGGTCCACCCGGCGGGTGGGTACAACCGGAGACCCGGCGAGTGGAGCGGCTCCGCCGGGAAAGGAACGCTGTAAAACCCGTTAAAAGACACGGGGGGAGTGGGGCGTCCATGCTAACCTGCTTGGATTTGGCCTGAGCGGCGGTCGGCCCCTTCTTCCTCAGGACAGTCACGGTGTCCCAGTCACTCTCTGCCATGTTTCCTGGGATTCTTTACGAATGTTTAATATGGATACTAAAAAATATAAATTAATTAAACGCTGGTGTGTTCAAAATGGTTGTTTTTTTGTTTTAGAGCGAGAAGGTACGTCGGTGTTTCTAAAGCTAAGCTGACGCTGTTTTCCCGAACGGCCACCGACGCGATCTGCCAAAGCTTTATTTAAAACGGACACGCGGACAGTTTCAGCAGAAACAACACGACATCCGTTTGTGCAACAAAAGTAAACAAACGTATAACTTTGAAATGTTGAATGTGATAATAAAACAAGTTTTTAAAAAATGCATATATAGTCATTTGGAATAGGGTTCTCTTATAACATTTCTCCGAATGATGTATTGCTGAGTACACTATTTTTATGTAATTTTTTGTATTCAGGCAAAATGTAAAAGTAACATAGTTCAGGGAATGTCACCACCTTTTACACAGAGGTAGAACACAGATAGAATCGACACACTGATTAAATGGGATTATCCATTATTTTTATTAAAAATGTAGTGTTCGACTAATGCAGGGAACAGAAAAATGTTACGTAACAAACTTCTGAAATGGGTGGAAATTCACCAATAGGAAAATGCGCAAAGACTTTAGTCTTCAATCGTCAATTCAGCCGTGAAATATCTTTGCACTGGTTGCAACCTCAGTGGCCCCACAGGCCCAACGGGCCCCCGGATTACTACCAGTTGCACGACATGTCAGAGGCAGCGTCACTGTTTGCTCTGCCGCGGACGGGAGACCAGCCGCACTCGGACTGGGCGTCTTCGGCCCGGTGGAGACGTCCAGATCGGTAGCCATGTTTTGAACTCTGTTTCCCTGTCCACGTGCGAGGCTTGGGATTCATCTGGGAAGTAGATGAGCCATTAAATGTGAATTATTCCTGTGCTGCGCTCCGAAGAGGATTATTGCCAATCTTTCTTTGCACATCACCCAGATTACGTTTCTCACCTGAACAAAAGCGGTCGTCTTCATGTGAAGAGTCTCCACTCGCTGTGACAGGTGATCCAACCATTCAAGGTGGTCGGCGATGGACTGGGTGAGATCGCTGTTGCTCTGATCCACGAGAAATAAATGTCCAAATAGAAGAGATCACGAGGGAAATTTGTTTTTGATTAAAAAAATCGTTTTGGTTACAGATGTGACGCGTAGTGCACGTCGGACGTACCCCAGACAAGTTGTCCTTCAGTTCGACAGCGCCGAGGCGAACATGCTCCAGTTTGTCAATCTGCTCTTGCAGCCGGTCGTCCAGCTCCTGCATCATCATCAGGCCTTCGTCGGACCTCACGCCGGCCTTGTTCGCCATCCTGGGTCACAGAAACACACCTTTTACTCAAGTACATTGCAACAAACTGGCTTATGAGGCCTGTTAGGCCTGTTTTTAGACAAAGTTCTGATACTATGAGTGTGCACATTCTGCTTTTGATGCGTGACCAACATTGTGTGTTTTATGTCTTCAGTAAATAGCTTTATTTGTTATGCTTTGATTTTAGTGAGGTGTCTTTGAGTACTATAAAAAGAACAATAGAAAGACTATTATTATTGAATGTAATGTAATTTAAGAAACGAGTTTGCTTTGAGGTCAACTTGTTAAAGGATTTTCTTGCACTTTCAGGTAAAACCACCAGTGGGAGACACAACTTTCATTTTCTTTTGCAACTGGCCAACGGGGAACGTGTTTGTACTGCAGCACCTTTGTTCATTTTTATAAATATCCCCGATTAAAAAGCTCACCGGTATCTAAACCGCGTCACCGGTCAGGACCATCGCGGAAAGTTGTGTTTTTTTTGCCACCATCCTGAAATCTCTTTGCAGCTGGATGAGAACAAAAGGACTGTAAACATCTGGTTACAATGCTCCAACTTGAAACCCCTTTCACACAACTACTCTGTGTAGTCAGGACTCTCGGGTGCATTGAGCATTCATTTCAGGAGGTTTACCCCAACACACAGCCATACAACCATAAAATATTAAACATTAAGCTATGGGAACGTGCCATTGTCCCCCAAAAAGAGTCAGTTCTCCACAAGAAGATAAATCCAACTTGCATCCTCACTGGAAGAAAAGCACTGATTTGGTTTTAGGTCCCAATGCGTTTATATAAAAAAATATTTTAAAAAAGTTCCGAAAAGCAGATTGAGTCGACAAACACAAAAAGTTACCTTGTATCCGAGGCTGAAACCCCCAAATGTCGGCTCGGGGGGGTGACGTAGACCTACGAGCCCTCCTTAGTCCGCGGGAGCACTCGGAAACCACAGATGGAAAACTTCGTCCTGACAAGCCTCTCTGTCCTGCAAAGAATGCAGGGAATTTGACGACGATGACGTCACAAAACCAGCTCTTTTTAGAGAAGTATTGCCTGGATTTATATGGTAAAATAAACATATATTTATTATCTCTCAGTGATGACATAAAGTAAAATCTAGTAATGCTGGCTCACTCATTCTTTAATACAATATATATAATTTTATGGTTTTTTTAAATGAAGAAAAGCGCTTTCAAAACCTTTTAAATGCATCCTATATTTCAGGTCATTAATGAACATAATTTATGTGATGTTGAAAACAGGCCTAAAGATATAAAAAAGAAATAAATCTGCCTTAAATTTGAAAAAAAAAAAACCTCCAATATGTATTCAGGACATAAAAATAAACAAGCAAATGCTGGTTTTACGGCTGGCTTAAACTTAGTCCTACAGTGGAAACGTTCCCTGCAGGTGGGGCATGCGTATTGCGGCGCTACTGGGAGGAGAACGCCTGCAGTGCTCTGGTTGCTGGAGGAAAAGCTGTTCTGAACACTTGGCCTCAAAACCTAAAACCCCCAATAGTTGAGCCAAGCAGCCTAAAAGCATTTCCCCAAAACTTCTGCTTTCACAAGAATTTGATGCATGGTTTTAATATGACAAAGTGAGAATACAGAATCCACAGTACATTTAAGAAATCACAACTGCTTTATTTCTTTTCTTTCAATAAGCTCTTTTTTTTTCTTTTTTAAACAAGGGCGAGTAATGACCAAATATCTGAAAGGATAAAGATCAAGTAGGATAAATAGAACGCTGGATCAGCTATAGAAAGCGCTGGTCCTTTAACAAAATGAAATATGCATCTTAGAAGTACAAAACAAAAGAGTCAGGGCGATGTTTCGGTGCACGAACGGTGATGAGAAGCATCAGGATCTTTTGCGGTGAGGGATGAGAAGCAAAAAAAAAAAAAGTTTCAATGTTAAATCCTTTATAGTGCCACAGTATGTAAAGATGAAACGTGGGTCTGAGCCTCCCCTCGCTGACGAGGCTCGACTGTACAGTAAAACTTGTCAAAGATAATTCGCAACATTTGTAGTGTCGTGGAGCGTTATGGTAAGCAGTGCTGTTGTTGACATTTAACCAGTTTTGACATTTTGAGTTTCAAAAAAAAATAAAAAAAATTGAATGATGATTCCAACAGCTTCACATTTTAAACACTTTAAAAGTCCTTCGTAGTCCTCTGGAACGGCACAGCTCACAAAACAAAGCTGAAGCAAAACAATTCACTCAACAAGCAATGCTAAACACCTCCTCTGCGATCCATTAGCTTCTAACAAAAAAAAAAGAAGTTAATTGGACCCTGACTGGGATAATAGTTAGACTGCATTTATTGCTAGTGCCAACTCAGAGACCAGATGCTGACTAACCAGGTGGTGACGAATCGGTTCCTTCGAAGGTCTCCAGAGTGCCGTTAAATGGGATTATAACGGAATTAGAGAAAAAGACTTATGGGCCTTTAAAGCCCAAAGCTAAAACGTCCCAGACTGAGGGATGTAAAAATCATCACGTACATCGAATGTTCATTAACAGATTTGATTTGTTACAACCCAAAACACAGCAATAAGAAAGCAAACATTTCAATCAAGCTATTTTGGGGAGAGGGAGTGTGTGTGTGTGTGTGTGTGGGGGGAGGTCACCTTTACAGCAATTGCCAATGCCCCCCTGACCCCCCCACACAAAAACTTCACAATGAGCCCAGGAAATGTTGCTGCCAGCTCGGTTGAGCAAAAGCATCCACAGCCGATGGCAGCGCTTCGAATGCCGAGTTCAGGTACAGTCTTTGTGAGATGGCGCTCGGATCTAAAAAGGTGTCCCGCATGTCTACACACGTTCAGCACGTCACATGCACACGCCGCGCCAAGGCCGGTGAAGTTTCGTGGAAGCAACATGATTTTGGTAAAAATGTCCCAACTTTTAGTTTTAAATTTACATACAGAAGAGAGCGAGCAAAAGAACAACTAAACAAAGAAAAGGTGAAAGAACGTGACCGGAGGTTTGGGGTCGAGCACCCCGGGGGATTTATTTCTAGGGCGATGCACTTGACCTTTAACATGTTGACATGCAAGGATGTCCACAAATTGGGGGATATTTTTTTTCCGGGCTTTTTAATTACCAGCAAAAACGTCAATGAAAAATGACAAAAAGTTCCCCACTGCATTTAGAATTTCATTTAAAAAAAAAGAAGAAAAAAAAATGTTAACAGACTTTGCTTGTCATAGATGTATCAAGAGTCTGCGTGGTGTCATCAGCTACAGTCCATAAAGAGTAAATACAGTTTGGCAAAATGTTATGAAAAATGAACCATCTGTCTGAGTTGGCCATTTTTCTTTCTCCACCTCGGGAAACACACACACACACAAAAAAAACAATATCTTTTCTCTTTACCAATCTCTTAAAAGTGACTAATAATAAATTAAAGAGGACCTTGAAGAGATCTGTTTAAAAGACTGCGTGTGTCTATGTATATATTTATATATATATTTATATATCTCTATACGTGATGTGAAATAATAGTGTCCGGTTCGGATAGTTCAACGGGGGTTATTTCATTATGACGCCTGCACGCGAGCCCCCTTTTCCACGCAGCCTCGGGACGGGTGTTGGAAGGCTCACGCGTTGGACGGGGGGCTTGTGTTGGCGGGCGGAGGGGTGGTGAGGATCTCCAAAGGTCCATTGTTATGCCTTGCCCTTCTCTACTTTGACAGCGTGGGGTTTGATGGCTCCAGAGCGCGCTGGTTTGGCGTGCCCTGTGGAGGGCGGGGGCTCCTGGAATTTGCTGGTCATGGCCCCGGATGTTATCTTGGCCTCCCCCACTGCCTTGCGTACTTCTCGCATGGTTTTATTCTGCACAAAGACGACGGGAGAATTACCAAGAGCAGCACGTTGAAAACAAAACGTCGGTGCAGCAACACCGACAGCCCGAGGCCGATACTCAGCTTTTAGAGAAAATTGATTTATTGCAAACAGTGACAATTTTAATCATCTGCATAGTTTGTCAATATCAGCAGTTCATTTAAGATTTGTCTGGAAAAGCTATGTAATATAAATACATTTACAGGGTCACAAATCCTGTCCATAGCATACTTTTACCTTGTTTACCATTAAATCCTGATGCATCATGAACATCACATACAGAAAGGCTTCAGAGATGACTGACACATTATTTTTAAGCAACTAACCCAACCTAAATTAACTAACTGGTTTTCACTAAAAACATTTCAATGCCAAATTATCATTAAAAATTGAATTATCACTCTTACACTATACAACATTGTTAATATGTATTATTATTGATAATAAACAAGATGTTTGTTAGCGCTTGAATTAGGATGAATATTCAAGATGACTAGGTGAAACATTTTAATAACAGTTTACTATATAAACACATCAATATTAACAATACACTACAAATGCATCCTACCAACTATAAATCTACACCTTCCAACGGCCACAATAACAAAATACACAACACAAGAAGCGCAAATAGAGAAAAAGAAAATGGATGAAAATAAATTACCTATATTTATAGTGGGTGGCTCACCTTCATGCCATCCTCTGGCCCTTTAGAGGGATCGGGCACCGAGGGAGGGGTGGAGTGGGAAAGGTCACGGCCAGGATTGGGGTAAGGGGGGGGGCGGATGATGACAGGCTTGTTGACCTGCATGACTGGTCTCTGAATGGGATTAGGGAAAGGGCCATTGGGGGGAGGGCGCATGTGCATCACCTGTTGGTCCCGGGAAAGGAGGAAGAACACAAATTAGCAGGCCTTTATTGCATTTCAAAAAGGGAATACCTTGCAGAATTTATGATTCATTAAGATTTTAGCTGCTGTATTTCAACTGTAAATTCTGTCGGGTGAGGAAAATGGGGATGCGTTCAACCAAGCATAAATTCAATTTAGAACCCTTAAAAAAGGTGAACCCTGGGCAATATTTTTCAGATGCAGGATGTACATACACATATAACAAAACAAAAAGAAATACCTGCTGAAAATGTGTCATTTGGCCCCCAGGACCAGAGGGCTTCCCACTGGGGCTGGCCGAACCAGGCCTGAAGAGGAGAGGAAGAAATTAAAGTACATTGTTGCACCCATTTCCACAAGTGTGCCTTTGTGATTCACCGTCCCGCACTTGACGGCGTCGCCTGTTTTCTTGTACGCTCACCTGTAGGACCCTCCGGACATTCCTGGGGAATGATTGGGCTTGTCAGAAAACTGAAAGCCTTTCATTTCCATCTGTGAGCCCTGAGAATTGGAAGACGAGAAAGACATACAGTCAAACTCCAAAACAATTGTCCATCTTTGTACTAATCAATGAACAGAGCGCTATTTTTGGTGGAGCATCATCAGATCAGTAAGTCACACCTCTCGGCCGCCGGTCATGACCCCAGGCTGGGACCCGGGTGGCATCATCCGGCGTGGGCCCCCAACTGACAGGTTCTGTCCCTGCTGCAGCTGGATCGACTGCGGGAGGATGAGGTGCTGCTGAGCAGAGCCATAGCGCAGCTGAGAGCCGGGTAGGGGCATGGTCACCTGGCGAAAACAAGGACTTCAATGAAAATACGCTTCATCCAACGGTGGTCTGATGGCGCCATGAAGGCTTATGAAAAGGAATGTTAGTGTCTTCAGCAGCAGAGCTTGAGCAGCCCACCAACCTGGATGAGCTGAGAGTCCATTAGCTGGGAGGAACCCATACCGGGCCCCTGGTTCATCTGGCTGTCGTAGACCAGCTGCTGGCTACCATTCATAGGCTGATAGTGTGAGCCCGACTGTGACTTGACCATGTCGGAGGGCTGCATGCCGGGGAAAGCAGAGTAGGGCCCCTTGAGAGGCGCTCCACCTGACAGCACCATGGGGCTGGGCTGTGACAGGTTGGGGTGCATGTACACCTGGGATCTGAGGGGAACAAGACGCAGCAGAATAAGCAAAAGGAAAATATCAAAACTACACGGTGGCGAGACAGATGACATGACCACGGTGAACTTAGGAAACTCCTTGATAGATTGAGGGGGCAGTACCTGAAGGGGGGAATAGAGTTGAACATCTCTTGGGACTGAGACACGGGTAGACCTCCACGAAGCCCCAACTGAGCCTGAGCCTGAAGAGACGTGTGCAACGAGATGGGAATCTGCTGGGCTGCAGCCGCCTGAATGGTTGAAGAAAAGTAACATGACAATTCTGCTACAACACAAACTTCTTTGTGTGTGTGTGTGAGTGTGAGTGGATGCTTATCTCTACCTGTTGGTAGGTCTGTTGCTGGGTCATGTTGGGGGGTACAAGGCGCGGCTGGCTAGGAAAAACGTGGCCATCCAGATACAACGGGGGAATATGATTACCTACGAAAAGGGAAAACCTTTCAGTTTCGTTCCACTCAAAGATGAAGCCTTCGTCAAATAGAGAAAATGAGCGTTACCTTGCATGGACATGGAGGGCGCTACTGACGCAACAGGCATCGGAGGCATGGAAACCCCCCCAAAGGAACTGTAGCTAACACCACTGGAGGAGCCAACGCTGCAGGCAGGCTGAGCTCCGGAAGAAATTCCGCCAGGGGAGCCCTGCTCAGGCAGGGACTGAGAGTTTTCCCACGCTTTGCGCGCCGACTCCATCTGAAGAGAAAGAAACATGTTTGTCTTGCTTTAAATGTTTTCACAATATTCCTTTCCAGTCCGGAAAGGTGAAACTGACCATTATTCTTATTTGTTGTGAATCTATATATAGTTCTGTTCGAATTGAACTGGAATTTGAATACCTTGAGCGTGAGGTCAGCACTGGGGAAGGAGATGGGGTTGAGGTTGATGCCGGGCTGCAGGTGGGTGGAACGCAGCATGGTGATACTCTGATTGAGAGCAGTCTGTTAAAAAAAAAAAAAAAGGTTTAGGATAAATCAGTCTGATGTTTACGTCTTCTGTTACTATTCCACTATTCCTCCATTTCATAAAAAAAAAAAAAAAAAAACCTAGATGCATTGTGCTGCACTGTGATGAAGATTGCCACATCTACCTTTGATGCCTTTGGATTACTACTAGTTATTAAGTACAGATCTATCCACTCACATTGGTAGAAAGTGCTTCCTGAAGCTTGTTGACAGGATTGGACACAGCGACCGGGGCGGAACCCGGCGGGAGGCTGAAATCAGAGTCTTTGGCACTGACCCCGAACTCGATGGGAGGCCCCGGCAGCACCGTGTCCACGTGGAGGTCCACGCCGTTGACCGGCGCTATCGGGTCACCTTCCAGGCGATCGACTCTCTCGGGCCCCTTGCGGTGCTTCAGGGAGCGTTCGTTTCCAATGGGCCCCGGCTTGTGCTGCTCCTTGGTCTGCTCGAGTCCAGCATCAGAGTCCTGGACACGGGCAAGACAAGGCGGGGTTTGGTTGCCGTTTTGCAATTTTGGAGACAACTTGTTATTTGACGATAATGAAAAAAAAGGCAAAAACTAAATAAAGTAGATCGAGAATATACGCAGTACAAGTTCCAATGAGCAGCCGGATTGTAGTACCTCAGAGTTGGGCTCGCTCCCAGTGTACGACACCTGTTTAGTCCACGAGTCCCCGCCTGAAGACTGCACTGATAGAGCTGAGAAGAACGAATTCAGTCAGTGGAGAACGCAAACAATGTGACATAACATAATTTCCCCTTCAAAGCCATAAAACCCCTTTACAACATTAAAACTAAGCAGTTCCTGTCAACTTAAGATTTGAGGAGAAACAGCTATATTCTGGTACAATGAAACAAAGAGATGCTCTAAATCTGCTACCTGAGCTGTTGGTCTCCCAGATTTCAGTTCCCAGGTTGTTGGAAGACAGCCCTTCCTCCGGTTGCTCAATGCTCATGCTTCCCTGCTTTTTTGCAAATCGTGGCGGAATCTTGGATGCGATCGTCCTGTTCTTCAGCGGAACCTTGTAGAGCAAACAATGACACAGAGGCTTGAGAAGCTACACCCTAGATTTTATTCTCGGCGTGATGACAGAGCATATGCTGACTTACAGCAGACCCCTGCTCCTTCCTCCTCCTGTCGTCCTCCTGTGGGCGTCTTTGCTTCTTGACCAAGGCATCCTGGTATCCATCTGGATTTGAAACTGGTCCCGAGTCCCCCTCGACTACAAAAACAGATAGTTAATATTTCAAATTGATCGTGTATCAGTCTTTAGATTAAGATCAGCATCCATCCTAGAAACATAAAAAAGTAGCAGCACCAGTTCAGTTTGTTTTTCTGAAATTAATATTCTACAGAATTGGTTATTTGATTTCTATCAAAACGGAGAAACCAAAAGAGAAATTGAAATTGGACTCACTCGGATAGCTGCTGAGCTCATACTGGGAAAGAGGTTCTGTTATTTCCGTCTTGGTAGATCCTTGCTTCAGTTCCATATCTAATTTCTTGCCAGAGAGTTCATTGGGCTCCCGGTTCTCTGGCTGCTCTATGCTGTAGACCGCGCCGGACTCATCTGTGCTTCTGCTGAAAGACAGCAAGTGGAGGAAAAGAAGGTATTAATTGTCGGTTTTAATACAACAGGACATTAATGAAATACAATTGGAGAAACTTTGTCAAATAAATCAAATTTTGGATCTTAAACCAAATATCAGCGTCAGGACACTTTGAGGGAGGTAATGACTTAAATTACAGGCATTGGTAGCCAACTCTAGAAGCCTTTCTAGCCAATGAAACTGAGCTCCAGCTTTATCTGGCTTTCCTTAACGGTGGAAGAAAAACTATGACATGAATACAATTAAACAATGGAGAATAAAAGTTCAAATGGAGATTGGTGTTCAGTCCTGTGCCTCTGAGGAGAAACCCTGTGTGGGCGGTTTACGAGTAACCATAACAACCAGACTGGAAGCAAGAAACTAAAGCATAAATATACTAATCGAGGATGCTTCATTTTCAATAATACACACAGGTAAAGTATCAAGACAATTACATTGACACAATTGTTTCTACAATTCACCTCACCTTTTACAAGAAGTCCCTCCGTTCTGCCAACTGTCACTCCTGTTGGAGGAGGAGGAGCCGTTGTCGGGCGTACGGGCCATCTTGCTCACTTCCAGCAGTGACGGCTCTTTCCTGTTCTGCCGTTCCACCAGAGGCCTCTGGCTGGAGAAGCTTCTCTTGCACAGTTCCCTCTTCTCGCCGGAGCCGGGCTCACTATGGCCAGACTCCGAGGGAATGTCACCGTGACTCGGGCCGCCGGCCACACCGCCGCCTCGCTTCTCTCGCCAGTCAAAGTCGCTGTTCTCGGATCCGGTCTCCCACTCCTCCGGCTGACCATGCTGGGCGGGCCGCAGGCCGGAGTAGTGTCCGGTGGGCCAGTTGTCCTCCCCGCTGCCTTTGGGGCGGCCAGGCCAGGGGTTAGCAAAGTCCCCGTTTACGTACTCCTCGCTCGTCCACTGGTTGTAGCCCGGCTCGCGGTCTTGTTGGAGACGACGGAAGCGCGGCGGCTTGTCCTGACGGGGCGGACGGCGCCTCCGTATCAGCTGCCTGTCGGGGTTATCGTTGTCAAAGTAGAACTCTCCCTCGCCGGCCTCTGTGCCATTTTCCGTGAAGGAGCCGGGGAATTTGGGCGGGTACTTGAGAGCCTCGCGCTCGACCGGGGGTTGGCGGGAGTAAGTAGGCTCCCCGCCAGGACAGTAACCATTTTCTTGCATGGAGCCACCTGCCCCAGTGAACTGGGGCCCGCGGCCCCTCCATGTAGAAATGTCCCTGGGTCCTCCAAAGCCGCGACTGTAGCTTCCAGTGGTGTTCAGCCTGGGAGGCAGCACACGACCTCCGAAACCCCTGCCAGCCTTGGCCTTTTCTCTGGAGTCCTGGGCCGCCTGTTCGTCTGCGTACACCTTGTTGGATCTCCATGAGTCTCTATCAGCCTTGCGGACTTCTGCGGACTCGGCGTAACCGTCGCCATTCTCAGACCCCTTCTCACGGCGCCTCTTGGGCAGCTCCTCGTACTCGGAGGCTTCGCTTAAGGTCTCACTGACATTGCGCCTACGGGGCTTGCCTCTCTGGAACTCCTCCACCGCGACGAGGTCCCTGGTTGCTCGGCCCCTGCCGGTCCGCTGCGTCCCGCTGCTGTTGTTGTTGGGGTTGTTGTTAGTGTAAGCCCCCCGGAGGTTGTCTCCAACTCGGCCTCCGCGGGGGCCGCCTCTCGAGCTGAATTCCCTAAAACCCCGACTGCGGCCTCTCCCCGTTCCCCTGACCGCGCCAAAGGCCTGCTCTTCATCGATGAAGATCCAGTTATTGCGCCGCGGCGCCTGGGGCTCCCGGATTTCTTGGCTCTCTCTAGGCGACTGGTTCTGGCCGCTGTCCCATGGGCTCTCTTTGGGAGCGTCATCACTGTGGGTGCTCAGGGGCCGAGGGTCCATCTTGGTGGGACCTGGCGACTGACGCTGCCTCTCTTCGGGATGTTTGTCAATAACGGGTGACACGGAGCGCCTGTTGCTGGCAGGCTGGTTATCTTTCTTCAAGTCGTAGACGTTGGTAAGGACTTCTTTCTCCAAGCGGTAAGGGACGGGCTTCTCCTCTGGCTCGGGTTTCGGCTTCTCGTTTTCTTTGTCTTCGACCTTAAGGGCCTTGAGTACTGGCTTCTTGATGGGTCCCGTTCTGCGAGTCAAGGTGCGCCCACTGCTCTCAGATGGCTGGCTGACACTACCGCTGGAACTGGAACTGGGCTCGGCCCACTGGCTTTGGACATTCAGTCCGCCATCTTGTTTCTGGCCTCCATCTCTTTTCCAATTGTCCTTTGAGGCCTCTCCGGTCTCGTCGTGAGACTCACCGCCGTCTTTCTGATGCTTGACCCGGGTGTCTTGTTTCGGGTAATCACTATCGGCTTGATTGAAGGAGTGGTTCTGAGCAGTGGACAGCAGGCCTTGGTCGTGGTGTTGGTGTTCTCTGTCGGGGCCGCGGCTCTGGTAAACATGATGGGGGATGTCATCGCGGGGGTGGGTTAAGCACTCACTGGCCCTCTCTTCATAGGAGTCGTGTTGGGGGCCGCCCTTATCACTTCTGTGGGGAAGAAATGATACAAAAAAAAAGATTTCACATTGTAATAAAGGTGTTGTGAGGGCAGATCCAAAGAGAGAATGCCTCAGAGTAAGAACTGCCAAATTCACAGGCTCTAATATTTTAAAAACAGTAACGGACCTGTCATCTAGCTGCCCACTGTCCAAGCTTTCGTGCGGTCTCTGGTAAGGTGGAGTGAAGCTGCGCAGGGGGTAGCCATCTTGGTTCCAAATAGGGTAAGGCTCGGTGGAAGGTGCTCTCCTCTCCTGGAGCAGGTTTGAGTGGCATCCCTCATCGGAACCAGGGCTGTTCAGGTGGTCTTGATGGATCATGGGTTTCATCATTCCTGCTGAAATAATCAGTGTTTGTATTTCACACATTTTTTCCATGATGAAAAAAAAAATAATCAAAAAGAAAACAGTGTGATAACAGATGTGAAAGCATCTGCTCCTTTTGGTGAGTTATTACTCACCTGAAGAGTGGACAGCCCCGGAGTAGTAGTCCACAGGAGAGCGTCCTTGGGTCATACGGGGATCCATGAAAGGAGGCATCATCATCCAGCGGGGGTCGAACCCGAGAACATGTGGGGGATAGTAGCCTCGCTGGCTGTGGCTTGAGCCGGATGTGGCCGGGTGAGCAGACTGCTGCCAGTGCTGCATTTTGTATACTTGTTCCTGTAGAATAAATACAACAAATAAAAATGTTGTATACAAAAGCAACGGCCCTGGCTCCGTTTAAAAAAGCATTCTAACGTTCAGCTAAAGCTACTGTGATACTTCAGAGTAAGCCATGTCAAAAATATATCATCTATTGTCCAGTCATAGCTGGAAAGGTTCCGTTTTATTAATGTGTCCCAGTAAGCGATGGCAGTGGGAGAGCGATCCAGAGCATTTAAATAGAGTTCATCCATCAACTGTGACTCTGGATGCTCAACCAACTGCAATGCAAACGGAAAAGTGGAAATGTTGCACACATTGAAAATCGGAGGCATCTGCATTTACAAAGTGCATTTCCTGCTCTTTATATAACGATAGCGCCCGTCACAAGGCTGTTTGCATGTGGCGACATGCTTCCATGAACTCTTGAGAGCCCTCTTCTCACAAGGCAGTTGCTAATAGATGACACATTACTCTGGGATTAAGAATGTATATGTCAAAAGGTGCATCAGCCGGTGCTCACCTGCTGCTGCTGCTGCTGCTGCTGCTGCTGCTGCTGCTGCTGCTGCTGCGGCGGCGGCGGCTGGGGCGGCGGCTGGGGCGGCTGCTGCTGCTGTTGAGGCTGCAGTTGCTTTTGAAAGCGGGGTGGGACAGGTTTGGAGGGATGACGTCCGCTGTAGTCTCCGGAGGGGGATGAGGGCTCCGGGCAATCATCCTCAATGACACGGTAGTTAGAGAAAGCGGGTTCATCGCGGTAACTGTGGCCGGGAGAGGTGTCTTGGGGACACTCGCTTCCATCTAGAAATCATTTGACCACGAAACATGCTTAGCATCGACCAGTCTGAGCTGCAATAAGTTGGTAAATGTACACTCCTCCAAGTATTTTTACCTTTGATGCTGTACTGCCAGTTCTCATTGTGGCCTTTAATCTGTTCCCTGTCTGGGGAAAGTGGAACTTCTTTGTTCTCTCCCTCTTTTTGGCCCTCCTCTGTTCTCGATGTCTGCCTTTCAATCTTCCCAAACTTCTCATCCAGCTTTTTGAGTTTTTCAGCACAGGCCGCCAGGCGTTCCTCGCGGGCGCGCCTCTCCTCCTCCTCCCGGCGCCTGCGAGCTCTCTCAACGGCCTCCAGCAGCTCGGGTGACACATACTTTGCCCTCGCTGGGGCCTGAGACTGGCGCTCTTCCTGGTCAGCCAGTGGCTCTCCTTGGTTTGTTTGCAGGGCCTGTAGACGGAACAGAGGCGGTTCAAGGGAGTGCTGTATACTGCAGAATATCAAATACATCTATAATGTCTCCTTTCAGAGAACTCTTTAAATAATATTCTATTTATCCACTGTGAGTGACCAAGAAAATCTAATGACTTGCAGGCATGCTGGAGGTAACACGGATTCAATTATTTTTTTACTTGTGTAAGTTTGAGTGTTAAGTTAGTCTAATTTTAAGAACATGCAAAAAAAAAAAGCCTAACTAAGCCTAAACAAACTTGTTTATTTCGGGGGGCAAATTCTTTCAAATTTAAACGGTCCTAAAAAATGGTCTATTCCTATTATATCTGTTGCATCGTTATCAAAGCCAAACAAGTCAGACATATCACTATGGTAATTGAAAGGTCATTACTCCCCATTCACAATGACAGTCTCACTCAAGGGTGTATGACAGCACACTGCTATTCATATGCTCTGCAGTGTTGCCCTATCCTCCACAGTCACCGAGGGAATAAAGAACAAGATGTGTTATAACTGTGGCTAACACCACAATAAGTTCATGTTCGATACGTCATCTCAGCGGAGGAGGAGGAAAGTGGGAAAACAACGGTGTGTGTTGTTACCGGGGTGTCCGTAGAGAGATATCTGCTGTTGGTCTTCCTGGGCTGCTCATGATGGTAAGGTTGGTAGGAGTAGCTCTCCTCCGTGCCCTCCTGGGGGTAAGGCACCTCAGCTGAAATCAGGTTCTCCCTCTCCCATTCAGTCCTGAAAAAAGGATAACGCATCCAAATTGAAACAGGAACCCTTTAAATTATGTAAGTAAAAAAAATAATCTTGAGTATTAATGAGCCATCTGGAAAGAGATCTCACCATTGCCTTTTTTTATCACCGGAGTGGTCGTCTTCGTCATCGCTGAACTGAAGCTTCTCACCGTAGTCAACTTCCTCATGTAGTCCTAGACAAACCCCAAAGTAACAGTCAGCGGCAGGTATGTAGGATGGGATCATCATCAATCACACGAGAGCAAGTCAATTAGTTGTGTCCTGGGCGGGGACCCCCTCACATCCTACGCTTCTATTCAGTCACTCGCAATCTCATCAAAGTCATTTAGTTGAGCTTTGGAACGCTACACAAGCTAATCTTATCAATGCGGCTGGAGCGCATCAACGGTCTGACATTAGGGTGTAGATTCAAAATCTTTATCTTCATTCATCCGATGTACCTTGACTGATTGTTGTTCATACGTCAGATTGGCCCTCTAAAACATAGCAACTTCCCTCATTATCATCTTGATTGGATGCAGGCAACGGGGATGAGTAGATTACTTAACAGTCCTTCATGTTTTTTTGTGCTCAGAATTTGCCTTTCTTAGTGTAATCAGAGCACTCTACGGTAATAATTGATGGCATATGATTAATTCAGCAATAAATCACACTCAAATACTGGTGGCAATGCATGTTCACAAGGTGAAGAGGAAACTTAATATGGCACAAACTCCTCCAGAATGAGTCACATTTTTGGCCTCCTATAGGAGCGGGATGAGGGTGACTCACACGAGTCAGAAGTACTAACCTGCCCACCCATCCTCACAGTCGTGGTCAAGCTCATCCAGGTCCTTCAGGTCCTCGGGATTAATGATGGCTGGACGTTGCGGTCTTTCACCAGGTCTTCGGATGGGCTGAGAAGAGGGTCGAGTTGAAGCACGAACAAAGCGGTTCTCTCTTCTCACGTCTCCACTGCAACAAGAGATGGTAGAAGGACAAAATTAGCCTGATCTGGTCATTGAATGACGACAGATGACGATCCGTGTGATTCACAAGTAGCCACTTCTCTAAAACGACAGGTGATGGTTTACGAGATTGCTTTTGTAGCAAAGCGCTACGCCTCTTTTGCTTTCTACACGGATCGTTTACCTGCAGTTAATCAAAGGCTGCTTGAATGTGATTGGTCAACGCTACATAGGGCCGACAAAATGGAAACCAGAACCCTTTCGATGCCAAAATGCGGCCCGGCTTCCTTTACATTTTTCATATGAAAGCAGATTGCTCAAAATGAGTAGTTATCTAACATTGCAAACCCCTTGGCTCAAACTAGGTAATAAATCAGTGCTTTCACGCTGTGAATGTACTTACTTGACAAGTTCAGGTTTGGCGTATGTCTGTTTAAATGTAGGTTTGCTGTCAAATCTGGCTGGAGCTGCTACAGTAGCAGGAACGTGGTCGGTACCTGGGGCTTCACGTGTGTCTTTAGAGCACATCTAAAAACAGCAGGGCAAAAAAAAATAATCAGCGAATTGGCTTCGGGGGTCGTTTTTTCCAATCCAAAATACGACCTTATAAAAAGGAGTCACACAGTACTCACAAATGCAGGCAACATGTCGTGGTAGACGGCATTTGAAGTGTGATGAAGCTGATATTGCAGAGCAGTAGGGACGGTTGTTCTGCGGACCGGCTGGGCGGGTCGCAGCGAGAGCTCCTTCGGGTCAAGGACTGGGGACTGAGCCGTCACTACACTGGATGAGGTCGTGCCGGTGGCAGAAGGGGGGTGAGATGAGGCGGGTGGGCTGCCGTTCTCACCCAGGGCAGGGAGCTTACCCTCGGGATCCGCCGGCGAGCCGAGGGTCAGGGATGAGGGCTGAAGGTTCCTGCCACCACCTTCCCTCCAACTCGTCACATCTGGAAGTTGGATTTTAGAAAACAGCGGCCGTATAAACCTCAAAGAAAACTTTCCTTTGCCGCTTTCTTTTAGATAATCAATTCGTGTTTTACGAGGTAATTTGATTCTACACTCCGCAATCTTGTTGCCAATTTAATAATTTCCTTTCTGACAAACAGTATCTTCTATGAGATGGCCCGACAATTTTAGAGTTTTACTCACTCTGGGGGCGGAGGCTTGGTCCGGGCCCATACGACGGATCGAAGCCGCTTCTTTCCTTGCCAGCCCTGTCCTGTTCTCCAGCTGCCTTCAGCGTGGGAAATTCCTCGTGAGAGAAGGGCTGAAGTCTGTTTAAGGCCCTTAAACCTGGTTTATTGAAAGGAGTTACAATGAGGAAAAAACATTAGTCTACTCTAATGCAAACAGAAGAATGTTGTGCAGAGGGTCACAACCTGGACAGAACTATTCATCGTGAAAACGTCGTTTGAATTTAAGGAAATACCTCACTCTCAGTTCTAGGTATATCTGAGATGACTCACCATCTTGCTCTACTGCCTTTCCGTTTAGCTGGGCCCATTGCTTTGGCCCACCTGTGTTTGTGTTCTGTGGAAATGGAGAAAAACAGAGTCACGGCCTAATTTCAGCGTACTCTCTATTTGGCCTTTGAGTCAGAGCATTTGTCTTTTGTACCAGTACAAAATATGGTTACAAAATAACAACTTCATCTCGACTCTCTTAGCTAGACTGGAACGGAACAGACACAAGACCAAAGAACATCCTCTTTGTATATTGCAAGAAAAATTCTATTCCCACTAAACAACATCTGCTTTCAAACACACTGACAGTCTATGGTACTAAAATCACAAAAGGTATTCCTCAAGAGAATTGTCACATCTGTCTAAAGACGTTGGTGCAGTATGTTGGGTTTTCTAGCATAATTTACACTTTAGTTTTTCGTACAATTATAGTTAATCCCCATGAAGTGGAAAAAAATGAAACAATTGCATACAAACCTCCTGGTTGGCTACCGGTGAGGGCTTCTGAAGATTGGAGACAGATTTCTGTGAAGCCAGCTGTGGCTGCAACTCCGGCAGCTGTGGTATTGATGCAATAGAACTAAAAATAAAAAGGAAGGAAAAAATATCACATTTTGTGCTATAGGTACAATGACTTATACAAGAGCACAGAAACACAAAACCGTGGACTGACGGACTGGAACTCCAGGCAACAACGATCTCCAATAACAAGACAGCTGACTTTCACAAATCTTTATTTCACTTTTTGACCCGACGTTGCCTTCCTAGAAGGATCGTTTTTAAGTCGATGCTGGTTTCTTAGAGCACACCATTCCATTGCACCCAGTGTGGTTAACTGATTGTCTTACGTTGTTCCACAGCCTATAGCTGTATGAAGGAAAACAACAAACTAGAAAAGGATCTTTAGTCTCCCGTAGCTGAAGATCTACATAGGGTGGTTTAAATTGTTTTTACCATTCTACCCTTACCTCTTTTGATCGGGTTGTTCCTGCTTGTTCGCCCATCCTGTACCGTCTTTTGGCACAATAATCACGTTGGGATCGTTTCCTTTGTTTTCGGACTTCAAGCTCGGCAGGTGAGCAGGCGGGGGCATGCGCCGGGCTGCGGCCACTTTGCCAAGACTCTGCAAGCCATGTCGCGGAACTACTGGGAGAGAAAACACAGGTATATAAAGCAATGGGGGAGACTTAGGACGGGAGTCATGCAAAGCAAACAAGAGATGCAAATTAAGTCATTCATTTAAATGATCAAGCTTACCTGCGTTTTTCTGATTTTCTATTGATTTTCCCTTGTACTTGTCAAATAGGCTAAGTGAGGAGTACTTGCTTTTCCCATCCTTGGACTTGGTTATTTGCCCCAAACGATCGGACATTGCGATGTAATGTCATCTAGTATGGAAATTTTTGTTTGCGCCTCTTCCCAGTGCCTTCTGATTCTGCAAACACAGTAGAAGAAATGTAAATCCCAAGTACAGACCTCACTAAAAACATTCAACCTTTGAGGTGGAGGACGTTCAACTTGGTTATACTGACTATTTTTTTGATTGTGTGAGGATCAAATAAATTTAGTGGCATTCATTCAACATCACATCTCCATAGTACATAAAGGGTCAAGTTCAATGCATTAATAAAATTAATCAACTTGAGGTGGTTCCGTATTATGAATGCCAATGCTGCAGACAGGCTACTCTCTATGTCAATAGTAATGGTATGCAACCACACGTTTGGCTTGATAAACCTAATAGTAACGGGGCAACGTCTTTAATACTCGTGACAGAAATGTTAGTTTGAAATGATCATTCAAATAAACACTTTACTCAAAACGAGCGAATTAAAGGTTTGCAGAAAAGCTTTGAATTGTGGCCCATTTGGTGAAGTTAGAACCACACACTGAACGTACCAGGTTAAGCTTATAGACTAATGTGCTTATTTCTAGTTCACACTTAAACATACATAAAGATAAATATTGTTAGCTCAAACACTCATGGTTACCACACAGAAATACGACAATAATGTTATGCAACCACCCACAGCAATTACTGCTGCAGCTTCAATAATGGCACAATATATAAAAGTAAAATATATATATATATTAATCCAGACGCTGTATATACTAAATTGAATTAAAACGATTTACCAATAGAGCTCATTATTAAAGTTACATACAACTAAGATTTTTTTTGTGAATTATTTCATATCTTTACACACTTAAATCTGCCCGGCAGCCAAGGTACCGTAAACACACATAAGCAACAGTGGTTAAACAAGAAATCAGATTTTAATCGTAAATAATAATGTTTTTGACCAAGATCACAGCGTTCCTGGTTTAACGTTGCGGTACGTGACCAAATATGTTCTTAAAAAAACATCTTTATGATGGTTAACGTTAGACTGCGCTAACATTTCGAGGTAATTGCTTCATACAAAGTACTAACACAATATAGATGGGGACGAGACTTTAACAATTTGGGATAAAAGCTCGTGTTTTGCGGGTCTTTTTAGTCGAGTATTTTATAATTAAAAAAAAGGATAATTATGGTATTTTTAGCAGAATGCCGGACAGCCCGGTTATCGAAGGCCGCTGCGTTCAAGCTCCGCAGAGGCGTTTTTATCGGGATTTACGAGAATAAATATCTGTCCATCAACTTTGATTTAGCGTATTAAAACAGATAACGGCATCCTCGTACACCTTCATTTCAGATGAACCCCGGAATTTATAGATGAACCAGGAACACCTCAAACCTAGTATTAGTTGACATTTGGTTAGAAATGGAAGCTAACGTTGTGACAGCTAACGTCAGAAATTCCTTGACGTAGTTTTCATTTCAAAATATTATTTCAAACTCAGGCGATCGACACAAATCGATTAATTTCCAAGCTATGAGTACATCAAGGACGGATGGCTACAAAAGAACGTTCGACCTCCTAGACATTAACGTTAGCTGCGGTTAGGTTCGGTTACCTAAACGGAAGCTAATGCTAATTCCAGTACACGGACAGCACTCAGTTCGTTGCACAAAAACAATGTATTACAGCTGACGTTAATATAAATACATTAAAAGCGGCTTTCTCTAATTCAGCACATGATTCAATCCAAACGAATGTTAACATTACCGTAAATGTAAACGTTAACACGGACCGTAAGCGTTGTTGCTAGCCACGACTAGTCAAGTCTGTTAGCATCTGACTTCAGTAACCAGCTATGTAAACATAAGGGTTCTGGGTAGCTGTGCATCATATTTGGGCTTTTCTATAAAACAACGCTTTAGACTGAGCACACACGGACGCGTGTGTTAATAAATCGGCTTATTTCAAGCTGAGCGAGTAGACAACAACAACAACACACGGACACTTATTCTTATTTAACATTCGCTAGCTGCGCCAGTCGCAGCTTTTTCAGAAACTAGCCGTTCAACTTCCAGTCTAGCTAGTGTTTCAAAAACAACCTTGGTAGGCCGGCACTTTTGTGAGCATTGGCGTTTGTGCACGGCAGTATTACGACACGCAGTTTTATGAATCTCCATAAGGGAGCTTTGACCAAGGTTAACATTTTCAGCCGTTCGTTCTGGGGGGGTTTATGTGTACAGGACGGTATCCCCGCAGCATCGGGAATGTAGGGCAAGGCGCTTAAAAATGGCCGCTGCCCAGAACAAAGCAACAATAAAACCGGGCAGCGGGAGAAAACCAGCAAAAATGCAAGATTTCACGCGACCGACCGCCTTCATAACTCACCAACTCAACGACTTGGTGTATCTTCTGATCAGCTACAGTGATATATTTCCACAAAACGTTGTCTACTCAGAGGATGGATAGAGATTGAAAAAAGCCCAATCTTCATAAGGTTGAACCGATTTCAGCGGTGTTGCTGGGGTTCTACCCGGCCTGGAAATGATCGAGTCGGTGTGTAGGCTGGACGGGCTCGACCGAAACGTGCTACGTCACCGAACGTCAGAGCGCGTGCGCGCGCGCGCCTCTGCTGGCTCGTCTCGGCACGTTCAGAAACACCGCGTTCGCCTCAGAAACGTTCAGTCATCTCTTGTAAATACATGTTATGTCATAAACTGCTGTGAGGAATATTTAATTAAATAAATAATATAAAATACGGAGCACCCGGTAAATGTGTAATGCGGTACAGGTGCAGGGTAGAGTCTACTCCACTGTGTACCACAGGGTGGGACCATGGACTATATAATTTGCCTATTTATCCATTCACAACAAAAACATAGTCATAAAGCAATACTGGTATTTAAAAGATGCCTCTGCCTCTGCTTTCCCTCTTCCTGATCCCTTTTATTAAATTAAAAAACAAACATTTGTATTCAATTACTCACCAGCGACAGCACATGACATTATGAAAGGTGAATTAAAATAATGAAACAAGGAAAGCCACAGAGATGCAAATATTCAAATTTGAAGCAACAGATTTAATGATCATTTACGTTTAATGTGAATGGAATCTACATCATTTTCACCCTGTGTCCTGTATTTTATTCCATTGGTTGGTATTCAAACGTCATCGTTTATGCTGCTTTTGATCATAAAGTAAATTCAAAACAACATCTTTCCAGAGCATTAGCAGTGCTCCTAATGGTCAAGACAAGCACAACCCTCTAGAGGGAGCACTTCACCAACCTTCCCTTTAACCGGCTGAGAGCATCTCCTACTGATCCACCAGCACTTTTTGCTTTTAATAATTAAAAGACATTTCTGAAATAATGATGTTGTCCTTGCAAATAATTAACAAAATTCACATTGCATTGACTTGAACTTGACAAAAGATGATGAAATGGCACAAATTGTACATTTAAAGCAGTCAAGATGTTTTTAATGTAACATAATAAACTCCAAGCTCATAAAGTTTTGTATGCAGCTATTTTGCAGACTACTAACAACAGCTAATATTAGCCTATGGTGCCTACAATGGGGAATTTACACATTTACACAACTGTCCCAGACAATCACCAGAAAACCTGTATGGCAATAAAACATGCTCAGAACTACATGCCTACGGCATACACAAAGGTGGGTGACACCTTGGAAGTTGTGAAGTGTAATGTTTTATCAGAGCATGACACAAACATAGAATCGTGTTGAGTCAGTGTGTATGAACTGGGCAGAAAGAGGCCTGGAAGCATTATCAGCTCCCATCCACGGAGACGTTTTGGGTGCATGCTAAGCAGGGTAGTAGAGGCCTTGATTTTGATGGTAATTTAAGCAAACCATTACTGGGACGGGTTCTAATTTGGAGATGTTTTTTTTATTTGAATTTTAGGCCGGTAATATCATTGAGACGCATGTTAAATATGACATTTGAAAGGGTTTTCATTATTTGTGACCGGATCAGAGACGGGATGCAGGTTAGTACAGCTGCTTAATTTTTTTGTTTGAAAAGAACATGGCCTGGGTTTTGTCTGCATTCAACACTATTCTGAGGTGCACAACAATGTACCATGATGTCACAGGCATAAAGGTGGACATAATACATTCATCTTTTGGCCATTCAGGGGATGAGCACAGAGGGTAGGTGCTGAAACTGAGTGTTGTTGCACACATTTGGTGACAATAAGAAACCTGGAGGACAAACACCGGATGGTGTAATTGCTAAACATGAACCAACACCAAAAAACCTTGTGGAAATCCATCAGTTATGTATCGAAGCCGTGTAAAGCCGCGTGTTGAGTCTCTTTTCCCCTTTTCACGCGGCCTGAGAGCTTTCTGAGCAGTTTCTGTTCCTGCCAGTATCACTGTTTCAGAGCACTCATTGTTGCATTGGCCTCGTTGCTTGAGAGTTGCGTGACAGGAAACCAATGTCCAGGGTGATGAAGACACACAGATAAAGGGATTCAGAAATATTGTTGCAATCAATCAATAATTAGTGTTTTCTCTCTCAGTCAAGGTTACTTCATGGTCTTAAACGTTGTGAATGCAGTTAACAGGACGAAGATGGAAACACTGTATGTTGATACAACCAGTTTAAGCTGTATGTCAATAGAAACTCCTACTTTGCAGACTGCACAGAGCACTCTTTTGTCTCTATAGTTGAAGTGTAAGTGCTTGGATGCAAGGATGTAATTGATTTAACATGTCCCAATGCCTTGTTTTTTGTGAAACAAGTATTTTGCAGCTATATCATTTCCCCTTTTGTCTACCACAGCCGGAAAGAGTGTAATGCCCATGTCAGAGCGCTCTTATGACCACTTACTTTGCTGCACAAGTTGTGCACTATGTGATACATAACAGTCCATGTGAATATTAAAAGAATATATGCAAATTTGCAAAACCTTGCTTTGTAGATTATTACCGATTAACAGCTGTGCAACGACACCACACACCTCCACATCATTTAGCATTTAAATGGATTTAAAAAATAACAAAACACGTTTCGTCTTGTTGTGTAAAAATAATAACAAACGCATCAATGGTTTACAGACAGCCAGCCTCGTTTTTATTGATGCTGTGAAAAAACACGCCCTACAGATCCCTGTACAGAACTACGCAAGCTAATGCAAGAGAAAAAATAATGTATTTACACATCAAACTACAAAACAAGTTTGCAACGAAAAACAGCAAGCGTCATTCAAAGGTCCATAAAAAACATTCTGTTCCAAACTGAACAGATACTGATACTTTGTATGTCAATATTCATGCATGCATTCACCCACACTCACACACGCTCCAGTGGTTTTGTGGGGCACAGAATCAGCATCATTGACCGTACATAAGCATCTGTTTGGCTGATGTGCAGACTGCAGCGGCCTGAAATGAAAGAGCTGAAATATGTGCCATAAAAACATCATTAGACTCATGAAAGCATTAATGGGACATTATGAGGAACGGATACCCCAGTGATATCAAAATAAGCTCATATTTGACAAACACTTGGCAAGGAGAACAGAGTCCCATCAGAAATATACAAACATAATAGCCATGCCGAAGAGGGAACAAGGTGGAATATCCAGACAGTCACTTCATACACTTTAGTGTTACATTCATATTGTAACTTTACACTGTTCAGTGTCCATCGTAGTTTCACTATTCCGAAAAACATGAATATTCAAAACAAATGAGAAAGAGGAAGAAGTAGAAGGGAAGTAAAACAAATAAAGATGGCAAAGATGATTTGCAGAATAGAAAGGCTTTCAAGTTATTGATAAATGGCACCAGCTTTAGTACTGCGTCAGAGTCCCAAATCGATACAAAAGAGATCTTTAAAAATCCTACGTAAACTATGACCAAATCATTGCGAGTTTGCAGATGTCTTCATTCTCCTTTCATAATTAGTACCTGACTTATGTTAAGGTGCAGTAGGTGTGTGTTTTACCAGGTATGACTGAAGCTACTAGGCACCTATGAAGGTTTCGTGGATGCCTACATAATACTTGATATATTACACGCCAGCCAGCCTCTGATTCCTCAATATGAATGTTTGCCTGTTCACTCCCTGCGATAAGAACTCCAAACCCTTACAAAAACAACCCCAATCAGACCTACGTCCTCCACGCTGGGAGGTTAGCGTATCAAACAAGCCTTTTGTGTGAGCACAGCCGTACATCAAAAGCTCAGAAAAAGGGGCTCCAGCTGAGCGTGCTGATGGAAATAAGATTCTGACAGGTGCTCGACGAGAGCCACGCCGTCTCCATCAGGCTGAAGTGGAGGAAGCCCAGCGCGAAGCCACACACCATATCCGTCAGGTGGTGCTTCCCCAGCAGCACCCGGGACACGCCCACCAGGAGGGCCCAGAGCACCAGCAGGATGCGCAGCGGCACAGCCAGCACCAGGTGAGACAGCAGGAACTTGGAGACCATGGCGGCCCGGCTGGCGTGGGCGGCGGGGAAGGAGTAGATGTCCATCGCGACGCAGTCCAGGAGGCCCGGCGTCATCTCCCAGGGTCCTCTGCGCTTCACCAGCCTCTGGATCCCAGCCACCGTCAGGACGTCGACAAAGAGCGCTGCATGGGAAGGGGGGGGGGGGTACAAGCAAGTGATTCCTCCGATGCTATAATTTTGACTGTACCGCTGGTGAAAGATTGAGACTCTTAGTTTTTTCACGTCTTCAAACCATGCGGGAAACAACCCAAGCAGGTGTAAACGGGTGTCTTTGTGACCGAGAATAACCAATAGGGCCTACAACACCGTTCACATACCGGGGCATTCACAGATGCCTTTTATAGCTCCATGGCACTCCCCAAAAATATCCCTACCAAGTTTAACTTGTGTTCAACTCTGCCATCTTTATACACACTAAACCGGCCACGCGCTAAATAACTGTCAAGCCGTATGATAAATGGGTTATGCCGGCCTAATTCTCTTTCCAGTCATCCACTGGCTGTCCTAACGCGGCCATTGTTTTTTAACATCTTCTCCAATTCCTCAACGGCAGGCTGGCGAGGTGGACGAGGACACTGGTGAGACGTGAGCGGGGATCTTTGAGGGGAGCCAAGCAAACGACAACGGATCCCATGAGCTGTAAATTCCAGCCCGTCTGTGGTCCCCTTCAACTGACTGATACCGCGCAGTATATGAGTACATGACGGGAGCATGTTCTTGGCTACGATCAGCGCAGTGTCGTAACGTGTGTTCGAAGCAACCCCACACAGTCAATCAGAACAACAAGTCTTTCTCTAGCTGATTTGCTGATTTTCTTTTCTCTGCTGTTGCTGAGGGCCAATCAGCACAAAGTGTATTACGTGTCAATCAGAGAAATGATTAACACAGCTCATGCGTTATATATGATTAAGCGAATAGCTGTATGATTGTAAATCATTCATTACTACTTAGTAGAGCAGTATTAGGCCACTTATAAGTAAAATGTTTGTGATGTTGTCTCGTCCCATGATCTATGAGGTATGTACCAAAGACTTTAGAATCATTAAACATAAAAATAAACATTTGTGTGACTGTACAGCTGCATGGAGCTTTTCTTTTTGCTGTTACAAGGGTGGAAACATAATTTCACACACCTCAACCTTCACAAGTTGCACCGAACGACCGAATGTGAATCAGTTTCACCCAGAAAATTGAAGAAAGGCCCTGAGCGCGTGCCATTCTAGTGCCCCCCCCCCCCCCCCCCAAGCCTCCCCGCAAGTACAAGCTCCTTGGTTGGGTGGGACATTACAAGCAGCAGTGACCAGCACTTCCTGCTGCAAGGGTGTTACTCCTACCAGACACAACTATGGTGCCAACGATCCACGTGATGCCGTGCCCGTCAGCGCCAGCATGGACACCATGGAAGCGGCAGCCGCCCCAGAAGAAGACGTGTGGGCGCACAACCCCATGCGCTTGGACAGGCATATGTCAATGGCGAGGAGGGAGTTCATCGCTATCCCCTTGAAGGAAGGGTTCAGCTGCATGCAGTCCTCCTCCGGCATTTTGCTGCCGCTGTCGGCGGGCTCTTCGCCCGGCTGGCTCGTTTGGTGCTTGATCGGAGCCGGTCGCCTGGCGCCGCCTCGGCTCTCGGACGGGACGCCTCCATTGCCGCCGCCGCCGCCGGCCCCGGCGCCGTTACCTCCGCCGCGGGGGGGCTGGTTCAGGGACACGAACTCGGGTCTGCTCAGGACGCTGTTTCTCTCCCGCGCCCTGGCTCTCGCGTTGTACCCGGAGGGCATGGTCGGTGGATCGGGACCGTAGTTCTCCTCTTGCGGGACGCGACAACAGCCCGACGGTCAAATCTCCCCGGAAGATAATTCGAGTGGTGCGAGTTCACCACGACAGTGGAACGTCCCAGGATAACACCCCCCCCCTACCTACCCCCCGGTGCCCCTACATAAGTCCTCCCCCCTCTTGTGGCCTTAATAGATATATTTAGACCCACTGGAATGTGCGATGGCCATGCTGTTTATATACCGCAATCCGTGCGCGGTGGGAGAGTCTATTGCATGGAATTCACCTCGGGCCAATCCAGCGAAACCCGACCTACAGCGTGGAGATAAAATAACCACATTAGCGTCTCGTTACGCCGCAGCGTGGCACGGCCACACGGCAAACAGGTGCTCGGACTGCTGGCAACAACAACAACAACAAAAAAACAACAAGCTGGGCGGAGGAAATGTGCAAGAAAGAGACGCAATACGGGGCGTCGTCTTACCGAGCGAAGGGTGGACGCGAAGCACAGCGCGTCAACTCTAAATCCGCCTCCCAAACACCTCTTGGTGTTCCGGCGGCAGCGAGGAGCGTGGAGCCACCCGAAACGGTTAACAGATCAACATCACCCGAAAACAAAGAGGGCGACGGCGAGGCGGCCCGTTCCACGGTTGCGGCATTCGGTGCGTCCGCGTGCGCATTTGACGTAGTTTACGCACAAACGCGATTCCACCTTTACGGCGCCCCCCCCCCCCTCCCTCCTGCTGCGGAGCGGAGTTCTCCAAGGTGCTTAAACGGACGGGATAGTCGAGCAGAGGAGCACCGTGGTCAGGATGCCAGATTCATGGAGACGAAAAATCTCACCACGGACCATGTTGATGTAAAATGTAATCATAATTGAGATAAACAGTCTGCCCCGAAAGTGAAATTAAATAAACTTGAATAAACTGTTAAATAGCAATTCAAGTTAAATGTCAAGTGTGTTTTAATAGGAGTAAAGACACATTTACAAGTATAATACACAAAGGCACAAGTTCAGATTATTATTTATTCATGTCCAAGTTAGTTATTTTATGAACGTGATCAAGTCGGTATAAACAAAGACTTAATTAGACTAGATTATAATGGTAATACTACTATTATGACGTCCTTGTGCAATATGGCCTACGTTTCCCGGCATGCCCACAGGCCCAGAGCGGAAGTGGCGCGTCATAGACGCTTATAAAGCCGCTTCACGGGCAGCTGAAGCAGAGCGATCCGTAGCGGGGTGAACCTGCCGAGGCGGCGATGGGACCAGCGCGGAGGAATGACCGCTTGTACAGGAATTTGGGCTGAACTGCATCCCGCCCGGGACAGGGCTGCGACCGTCGGCTCGGTCCGACTATGGGACAGCGGGAATCGTTGTCCCCTTCCGAAGGCTTTATAGGTTGTGTGTTTTTTTAATGTATTTTTTTTTTTAGATAAGAATGGATCCGGTCATCAAATGGGTGCCAAAGTTGACCCGGCGGTGTCCTCTGGATGTTGCGGTGCTGCTTCCGAGACTCGACTATAGATTCCGATGCTTGTGGAGATGCAACCTCTCCCCGTGGGACGGGGGGCATGATTTGCGGCTGTAAATAACGGGAGCCGACGGTGGAGGAGATAACGGAATTACCTCTCGGACCGAAGAACTGTGCGTGCCGCGCCGTTCACTCTGGATGTCTCCAGGATTTCGCTTTGCTACGGACACTGGAGTCTTCTAGGTAGACTTTTTGTTGTTGTTTTTGCATGTTTTTGTCACCTCGAGAATAGAACCTAATTCATGCAAATGCACCGCGCGAGCAGATAATCTGCACATGCACAAAATCGTTCAGTGTGACGCGTTTAAATCGCTGCAATACACTTTTATTGTGGCGAGGAATCGAGGATATCGCGGATTAAATGGACATAAGGCTGCTCCACAGAACATGAGCGTCACCTCGGAGCGGCCACCAGTCTTTTATAACCGTGCACTGTCCAGCACAACATTTTTTAATGATGTTTGTGCCACCAGCTGGACAGAGAGCATTAGTTAGCACGTGAATAGTCTGCTCCCAGCAATCAGCTGGTAATCCCCCACAAAAGAGAATACGACGCCCAGATGTAACATTAGTAGTATTTGTTAATTATTTATCTCGTAATTAACCTGAACCTTTTACGTGCGCCTTTCCAAGTGTTGCATTTCACCAAATAAAGGCCAAGTCCTTGTGTGATAAGAAAGCGATGGTTTGTAACAGTATGAAAACATCAGTGCACGGATAAAGAAAAGTAATTGTACCCGCACTTGCTTGAAGAAGTTGCGTTTGCACAAAGTATGCGCTCAAATATATGGGGAGATTCTCCTGTCTTCATCTTCTTGTCTCAATGTAGTTTTTGCATCAAAGTTGCATGGCTTTGAATGAGCACTTTTCTAATCTCGTAAGCTTTTTTTCTTCTTCTGGAAAACATGGTGTGGATCCACTTGTGGTGATTCTCTTTCTGCCTCCCTGCGGCTTTCTTCTTCTTCTCCAGACCCTCTGGACGTTGTTGTGAGTTGTGTTGCTACTCAATGCAATGGGCTGCATCCAGAGTATCAGGTGTAAGCCCAAGAGTTTCCGAGACAGTGTCATCGTCCTGGAGGTGAACACTTCCATCGACCCCAACCCCACCAGCATCGACGAGTCATCCAGCGTGGTCCTGCGCTACCGGACACCGCACTTCCGAGCTCATGCCCGGGTCCTCGTCCCGCCGGTAGCCGGCAAGGAGACGTGGACCATAGGCTGGATTCAAGCCTGCAACCACATGGAGTTCTACAATACGTATGGAAACAAAGGGATGTGAGTATCATCACTGGGTGATGGTTAGACGACCAGCACGTGTTGAGCAGAATTATAAATATAAAAGTTGCTGCAATCTCTTCCACAAAAGTGAATTTTCTCTTCTTCTATTAATCAGTTTGTTGTTGGTTCCACACAATGCCAAATTATTTTGATCAAAACTTCTCTGATCCAAGGACACCTTCAAGTACTTATATTCATCGTACTGTTAATTAAAACGATGATTCTATTATGAAAATAGTCGGCAAATCATTTCAACAGATCATTTATATACAGTAGTTTTTTAATCAAGCGCATGTGGCACTTATGGCCATAGAAAGAGTCAGCGTGCGCGTTGGCTTTCCTTGTCTTTTTAAACATCATTCTGAACGCATTGTTCAATGGAAATACTCGTCTATGGTTCCATCATAGCAGCGCCGTGAAACAACAGCATCAGCACCACAGGCAATCCAAATATTACACATTAATATCTGTATTCAGAGAGATGACTCATTTATGACAAAGTAAAAGGCATCGAGCTGTCTGCAACTGCAATGTTCAATCAGGGGCTCAGCTGTCCTCGGCATGTGGTCCGTGGCTGCGGGCCTGCAGGCTACTTCAAAACCTGATAGGAGAGGTTTGGGATGGAAAATAATTGCTTCGACCTTCCAGATCCGTCCCCTTGTCAATACACAGTTATCTCGCACCAGCCGTGACAAACACAGGTAAAAACAGCTTTATGAAACGATGCCCATGACACAGATAATACGTCTTTCTTTTTCTCATTCTCTCTCGGATTCCTTTAAAAAAAAAAAAAAGTGAGTGAGTGTGTGGCATTAGTTCACAAATGTGTTAGAAATGTAGCGTTCTTATATGGTGTAATGTTGCAAGCACACGCTTACATGTACCAGAATGTGCTTTATCTGTAGACGGTGCAGCTGCATGTCTAAGATTAGAGACAAAGTTCCCTGCCCAACACCCCAAACACGGTTTAGTCCGACAAGTCTGTGTGAGTTTGTGTGTGTGTGTGTGTGTGTGTGTGAGAGACGGAAAGTCCTAAAATTGACTCTTTTATCTCAAATTGCTTTGCTCTTTTGTCAAGTTATTTATTTGTTAGTGTACCGTCTGTGTCAAAGGAACATCAAACAAAAACACACCAGAGTCGAATACATCTCCACCATGAAGCCCAAAAATGAGGCCCAAAGAGCAGGAAATCAACAAGGCATTAACATCCGACATGATGTCAGCACAATGATGAATACAGACGATGAACACGCCCCACATGGACAGAGATCACAGGCAGGAAGCCACCTACAATCTACCCCACATGGCCATCGCACTTGAAATATGTTCTTTCTGCATCACGCGTTGCCCAGCAGTAAAGTTGCTAAAGCTCACGACAAAAAGCAAAGACACTCTCATCTGGATGTTCGGTAACGTGGGCGATTTCTCTGTTGGCTTTGGGGCGACGTGCTCTGGATTCTGGACACGTTCGCCATCTCTCCTGCCTCGGGGTGTTGGTTCCCCGCGCCCTCTTAGAATGGCCCCACTGTGGTACCGCTTTGTATGGCTGAGCAGGCGTATGTTCACTACGTGAGGCGTCTTGTGTCGCCTTAAAAAGACATTTTCAGGTGCTAAAAATAGGAGCCGTGGCAGAAGTGAAACCGAAAAAGCGTGGAGTGTGTATCTGCTCTAACAGTTTGGTACAATCAGCATTCGCCTCGTGGCCGTTGACTTGGGCATTAATATCACAGACAGCGCTTACTGCAAGTGCTCTTTGTAGAGACGTGCGGTAGTGTACACACAACGTATGCCTCCTATAAAGAGGATCCAATCTTTGCCACCAGTCATTAATGTCTCATCAAAAGAAGTGTGATACTAAAGCGTCAACATGTGGATTTAATGTGGCCAGGACACAAGACAGGAAATGAGCTGCGCTTCTATGTGTAACCGGGGCGGCCGTTCGCCTGGTCACAAGGGTGACAACGTCACTTTGGGACTCTCACCCAAAGAATATCAGTTGTAATGAAAAAGAAAGGGAGCAGAGAGGTGAAGTTCCAGTTTTGTAACAATGTTTTTTTTATTTACAAGTAGGTTTAATATTTAAAAGAAAAGGAATAATCAATCCAGAAACATTGGTCGGTTTTATGGCAAAATATAACCTATGCTTTGAAAAAGGATTACTATACTGGGGTACCCTACCAGTACAAGGTGACTACTTGAGGCCCACCGGGGCGGGGGAGTGAAAGGGGACAAGGGGGCCACCACCAGGTCAAAGGAAAGAAAACACAGCAAATCAAAAAGAATTAAAACACAGCAAACAAACAAAATAAACTGAAAGGGCCTTCCACCTCGTGAGCCACCCCCTGTAGGCCTACTATATGCCCACCTGCACTGGCATTAAAGGGACCCCCAGTATAGGGCGCAGTAATGGTTGTTTATGTAGGACAAAACAAAGACACTAACCCAGAAAGAAAACAAATTAGCAATTCATAATCAAAGATACTATATAAACCGGGTAACCATAATCTATTTTAAATCAAAGGGCAAAAACAGCAGTGACCAGGATCAGCGTTGCACCACCTGATCATTTCCTGTATAAAAGAAAGAAAAGGTAAATAACGCCAATAAACATTTCACTGCTAAAAAGCATATTAAAACATGAAACAGAAACCCCTGACATACTTCTAGATTCCGCTCAAACTCATCCGCACGTGGCGAGTGCTGTGCTATGCCGTTTTCCTCCGTCAGTCTTTTTTTTTTTTGTACAAAAGAGAAGAATATAGTGGCCAAAGGGGGGGGTGTTTAGGTTTGAGAGCTGGTGACGAGCGGGAACAAAATAAAAGAGAAGAAATAAGAGACGATACGATCAAGGTATCCAAGGCCAGTCCGGTCGGTGAAGCGGGGTCAGTATTTGGGCGGGATCACCACCATGGGGTCGCCGCTCTTTGGCCGCCACATCAGCACCTGGGCGTCGTTGGCGTTGGGCTTGACCATGGCGTTGGAGGAGATGGGCTCGTTCCTGCCCAGGATCTGGGGCTGCTCCTGGGCGACGGGCTCGCTCAGAGCAGCCCTGTGGCCCAGAGGCCTCTCCGGGTCCACCCGGATGTGGAGCCGCATCCTCCAGCGGATCGTCTGCAGCACGAGTGTCTCGGAGGTGGCCTGGTTAATGGCCACCAGCCACGTGGTAAAGCTCTGGTCGCGGCGGATGCCGCTGAGCTGAGGCACGTTGCTGTCGCTGACGGGCACGCCCCAGGTCACGCTGGGGTAGAAGTTGTCGTTCATACTGACGGTGAACTTGCTGTCTTTCTTGGTGGGGCCCACCACGGTGCAGGTCTCCGTTGTGTTGCCGTACCACGGGTAGTTCACCCCGTCCGAGTCGCTGATGGCCTGGATTTTGCCATCACGCAGGTCGGGGAGCTCCCAGCTCGACCTGGAAGTTGAAAGTCACAGGTGAGGGTTGATCCACAAAGGGAGTTTATGGACATTTAGTTCCCCGTTGAGATTGAGGGAGATTTGAAGTTTCTTAAAAATGGGGTAAATTTATAGTTCTGCTCATCATGTCTATCGGTTATGATAACTGACAGGACAAGAGACACAAGCAAACAACGACCAATCTGTTTTTCATTTGAACCATTTCCTTTGGAAGGGAGCATTTGGAAAATGCAGAATACGGAGTTACAAGTGCAGGAAAGCCAAAGTTAAACCAGTAAATTGTAAACTGACATGGATGTTTAAAACTGTTAGTTTGATTAAATCCGATGCCCATGATATGAATCATACCGCAAAAGAACAAAAACAATCCCACGTTTTATTTTATCTCATTAACGGATAATAAACCAAACGAAAACTCTCCCGTCCAATCCTCCAATGTCCATCATAATAGTGTGAAAAGTCTTCTGCTCGATACCAATACCAACAACACATGAGCAGAATATAGAACCTAAAATTGCTGTGACTGCTGGCGGCACTGAACGACGCGAGTGACCTTGCACCTCTGGTCGGTGCGTCTGTGGTTTCCCCCCCTGTCCCCCCCTCCCAGCAGGACTAAGATTACCTTTCATTCTGTGGAGACTATGATCCGCAGAACGGACGAGATAACGGTGTCATCGCCAGCCACGAGACTTCCTGCCTGCTTGGCCTGGTCTCGCATTCTGATTTATGCATTCACCCAGGGGGGGGGGGAGATTAGCACGTCACGCATTATAATAGCTGGCCCCCCGTGTGCGTGTGTGACTGTGCACGTGTCTGTCTGTGTGTGTTTGTGCGCGTGTGCACATGCGTACAGATCTGTTCTGAAAAAAATCCCTTAATCCTCTTCACTGACGCCTCCAAAGCAACTTGCAGTAATTCTCCATTTTGTCAGGACTTTAACAGTGAGCAGATCAAGCAGAGCCGACTGCACACGGGTACGACGTGGAGTCGGCTCCTCGCTGTGAAACTTTAATCATGTGTGGTGAAAGCATTGCAGAGCTACGGCTGACTTCCTGTTTGTTTTTTTGTCTTCACTGCCTGCTTTGCCATTGCGAAATAGTCTGACATGAGTGTCGTGAGCGTTTGTGACAGAACCGCAAGGAGGTCGAAGATACATTCACTCCAAAAAAAAAGAAGTAACTGCACATATTGTGAGTGCTGATCATGTCAGTTATTGCAAATGTTGCATGCACTGTAACTTCTGCAGCTGCCACGGCCAACTTGGAAAAATGTGTTCTGAAAATATATATATTTATATATATATATCCACAGATTGAGTGAGCTATAACAACCTGAGCGCCACAGGATGGGACCGACTAAATGAAACATTGAAAATGCAATTCTATAAAATACATACTTTTGAAAAATATCCATTTCACGTCAAATCACTGAGAAATCCTGTATTCATTGAGCAACATATGTGATGGGTAGAGCTCTCCCCTCCCCCCCTGCCTGTTTGGCCACACCACCTTAATTGGTGATGCCTAACAGGTGTGACCAGGTGCTCTTTAAATGGGAGCTTTTGCCCCACTAGAGCTAGAGGGGGGCTTGCTGTAGGTCTCCCACGGCATAGGCACAGCACTCGCCACGTGCGGATGGGTTTGAGCGGAATCTAGAGGTATGTCAGGGGTTTTCTGTTTCATGTTTTAATATGCTTTTTAGCAGTGAAATGTTTATTGGCGTTATTTACCTTTTCTTTCTTTTATACAGGAAATGATCAGGTGGTGCAACGCTGAGCCTGGTCACTGCTGTTTTTGCCTTTGATTTAAAATAGATTATGGTTACCCGGTTTATATAGTATTTTTGATTATGAATTGCTAATTTGTTTTCTTTCTGGGTTAGTGTCTTTGTTTTGTCCTACATAAACAACCATTACTGCGCCCTATACTGGGGGTCCCTTTAATGCCAGTGCAGGTGGGCATATAGTAGGCCTACAGGGGGTGGCTCACGAGGTGGAAGGCCCTTTCAGTTTATTTTGTTTGTTTGCTGTGTTTTAATTCTTTTTGATTTGCTGTGTTTTCTTTCCTTTGACCTGGTGGTGGCCCCCTTGTCCCCTTTTCACTCCCCCGCCCCGGTGGGCCTCAAGTAGTCACCTTGTACTGGTAGGGTACCCCAGTATAGTAATCCTTTTTCAAAGCATAGATTATATTTTGCCATAAAACCGACCAATGTTTCTGGATTGATTATTTCTTTTCTTTTAAATATTAAACCTACTTGTAAATAAAACAAAACATTGTTACAAAACTGGAACTTCACCTCTCTGCTCCCTTTCTTTTTCATTACAACTGATATTCTTTGGGTGAGAGTCCCAAAGGGACGTTGTCACCCTTGTGACCAGGCGAACGGCCGCCCCGGTTACATATGCAAAGGGCAACTGCTCAAAATCAGCAGTCGGAAAACTAATGCCCTCTGTTTTGCAGAACCACGATTCAGAAGGGGCCATTACAGGTTCATGTTATCCAGTGGATGAACAGTGTCTCTCTCAACTTGTTAGTCCTTGTCCACATGTTGCAGTGGTCATTGGTGGGGTTGAGGTAGACTGTCTACTGGATACGGGGTCAATGGTCTCCACAATTAAGGAGTCCTTTTTCCACCAGCATTTTGACAACTCTCCCCAGGCATGCCAGTGGCTACAACTTACAGCAGCTAATGGACTTAGCATTCCATATGTGGGGTATGTAGAGCTCGATGTTTCTGTAATGGGTACAGTTATTCCCAAAAGGGGGGTTCTAGTGGTTAAGGATCCTCCTGGTTCTTTGCCCGAATCTGACGTTCCTGGTGTCTTAGGCATGAATGTATTACGTGAATGTTATGCAGAGTTGTTCGGGCAACATGCCTCACCCCTTTTTGATGTCTCACTTGTGAAAGAGGCCCCTGAGGCATGGAAGAAAGCTTTCCAAAAGTGTCACGAGAGCCGGGCCAGACCTGCAACAGGTGCCAGTGGAGTTGCTAGGGTGAGGGGGAAACATCCAGTCTACATACCCGGGGGGACAGTTAAATTGGTGGCCGCGACCTGTCCGCAGAGGTGTCTTCCACCTTCCCAGGCTTTGTTTGAACCTTTTGCCAACCAAGAAGCTCTTCCTGGTGGTTTGTTAGTATCTCTTGCGATGGTCACAGTGCATCATGGTACTGCTTACATCCCAGTTGTGAATGTTGGTGACACTGATGTTAAACTTTACCCCCGCTGTGCCCTAGGGATGCTAAACCAGGCCCAGATAGTGAGTTTACCTACAGGCATCAACGAGGTTCCCAGGAAGCCAGCAGGAATGGGTACCCTGGCGACCATGAGTTCTCAGACGGGGCAGGTGAAAAACATCTCTGATACACTAGCTTCTCTTGATCTTAGCAATGTTCCAGAGACAGAGCAGGCTGGGATACGGTCCATGTTTGAGAAACATCATGCGGTTTTTTCGGCATTTGAAGGGGATCTGGGATGTACTAACCTTATAGAGCATGAAATCCCATTGCTAGATGATGTGCCTGTGCGACAGAGGTTTAGGAGAATCCCCCCCTCAGATTACGATTCTGTTAAAAATCATATCAACCAGCTCTTAGAGACCCAGATAATCCGAGAAAGTTGCAGTCCATACGCGTCCCCAATAGTCCTCGTCAAAAAGAAGGATGGAAGCCTACGGATGTGTGTGGATTATCGTCAACTCAACAGCAAGACACGCAGGGATGCCTTTCCTTTACCTCGGATAGAGGAGTCCCTCGATGCCCTGGCAGGAGCACGTTGGTTCTCAACTATGGATTTGGCAAGCGGCTATAACCAGGTACCGGTCGCAAAGAAAGATAGGGCAAAAACAGCCTTTTGTACACCTTTCGGCTTGTTTGAGTTTAACCGCATGCCCTTCGGCCTCTGTAATGCGCCTGGTACATTTCAAAGGTTAATGGAACGGATCTTTGGTGCACAGCATTTTCAGACACTGTTACTATACCTGGATGACGTGATTGTCTTCTCTTCCACAGTAGATGAGCACTTAAAGCGCCTCGATGCCGTGCTGTCTCGCTTGCAACAGGAGAAACTGAAAGTAAAGTTCGAGAAATGCTGCTTCTTTCGCACGGAGGTAAACTATCTTGGTCATGTGATTACCGAAGATGGCGTGGCCACAGACCCAGGAAAATTATCAGCTGTGGCAAATTGGCCGAGACCAACAAATGCAACGGAGTTAAGGTCATTTTTAGGTTTTTGTAGCTACTATCGACGTTTTGTGGAGGGTTTTGCAAAAATCGCAGCCCCCCTACATCGCCTTGTAGCCAACATGATAGACGCTCGCACAAAAAAAGCATCTCGGAAGATAATTGGGGAGCTTTGGACTGAACAATGTGAGAAGAGCTTCCAGGACCTTAAATCCAGATTAATTAGTGCCCCTGTGTTGGCGTATGCTGATTTTTCTCTGCCTTTCATTCTAGAGGTGGACGCTAGCCTCAGTGGATTAGGGGCAGTGCTTTCTCAGGAGCAGGATGGAAAAGTGAGGCCGGTAGCATATGCCAGCAGAACCCTGACGCCAGCAGAGCGAAACATGCCCAATTACAGCTCCATGAGGCTTGAGTTTTTGGGCCTAAAATGGGCAATGGCTGAAAAATTTCGGGACTATTTGTTGGGTCAAAAATGTGTTGTATGGACTGATAACAACCCACTTAGCCATTTGAGCACTGCAAAGCTGGGGGCAACAGAACAGCGGTGGGCGGCTCAACTAGCAGCTTTTGACTTCTCCATTAGGTATCGCTCGGGTCGCTCTAATGTTAATGCTGACTCCCTTTCCAGGCAGCCTCACCATGGCAATACACCGCCAGATCTGGGGACATTCCTTCCAGGAACCGCCCTCCCAGAATTCCTGATGAACAAGGTTGACCCTTCAGTACAGGTAACCCAGATGTCAGTGTTTGCCCTTCCGTCTCACACCCCAGATTACCTTGCCACCCTCCAGCATGCAGATCCAGTGTTGAGAAGCTTCCTTCAGTTTTGGCGCTGCAAACACCCCCCAGACAAGAAGGAACGCCAGGCTCTTTCGAAACCAGTAAAGGAACTGGTGCGACAGTGGAATAGGATGGTGGAGAGAGATGGGCTCCTATATCGTCGCATTCACCGTCCGGATGGTGGAGAAGAAATTCATCAGCTGCTGCTGCCAGCCTCCCTGCGGGAGGAGGTGCTTCAACAACTGCATCAGGGTCATGGACATCAAGGAGTGGAGAGAACTACTAATCTGGTAAGGCAGCGGTGCTACTGGCCAGGTCTGTATAAGGATGTCAAGGACTGGTGTCAAAAATGTGAACGATGCACCCTGGCCAAACCCGTATACCCTGCTGTGAGAACACCCATGGGCCATCTGGTAGCTTCCCGACCGAATCAAATTTTAGCCATTGACTTTTCTCTGCTGGAACGTGCTCGCGATGGAAGAGAACAAGTTCTCATTATGACCGATGTCTTCTCCAAATTCACTCAAGCTGTCCCGACCCGTGATCAAAGGGCCTCCACTGTGGCAGGGGTACTGGTCCGGGAATGGTTTTATAGGTTTGGGGTGCCAGCCCGAATACATTCGGATCAAGGCCGGAACTTTGAGAGCTTGTTAATCCAGCAGCTGTGCAGTTTCTATGGCATAAAAAAAACACGCACCACGCCATACCACCCCCAGGGGAATGGCCAATGTGAGAGGTTTAATAGGACCTTACATGGCCTATTACAGGCCCTTCCACCTGTCAAGAAGCCAGATTGGCCCAGCTACCTCCCACATGTTACCTTCTCCTACAACACAACCACCCATCAAACCACTGGTGAGTCACCATACCTTCTAATGTTTGGCCAAGAACCCCAACTTCCTGTTGATTTTCTCCTTGGAAAGATTCAGGAACCAATTGGAGGTACTATCGGTGATTGGTTGCAAGAACACCAAATGCGCCTCCAGACTGCCTTTGATGGGGCCAAGGAAAGGATCCAAGCAGCAGCTCGCCTCAGGAAGGAACGACATGACCAGCATGTGGCTGGTGGCAACCTGACAGAGGGTGAAATGGTCTACTTGAAAGACAACAGTGCTCGAGGCAGAGTGAAGATCCAGGACATTTGGGGTCCCCGGAGGTACAAAGTTGTCAAGACCCCTTCTGATGGTGGAGCAGTGTATTCTATCGCACCTCTGGATGACGCAGGAAAAATCAAGCATGTCCATAGAACTCTCCTGCGACCAATCCCACTAACCACCCCTATAAGTGAGCCAGACTCTGGGGAGCAAGGGAGATCACCTACCAATGAAGGAGATTGCGAACCGAATGGTGAATGGTGGATTGTCCCCCAACCAGTGACAGCTACGCTAGAGCCCTTGGTTTCCTGCCCTCAACCACCTGCACCAGCCGAATCTATTGCTGGCACCATATCCCCAGTGGATGTGGATAATGATGACCCTATGGAAGGATCCAGTACAGTGCCTCTTCGTCGAAGCCAGCGTGAGACAGCAGGGAGACACCCAAACCCCCATAATCTCCCTGTGCCAGCATGGAGAAGCGGGAGAGAGGCTGCAACTTCTCGGGTAACTGGGTCGGGTAATATGCTCTGCCACTCCTAGGCTGTGGAAGTAGTTTTCCTTAAAACCGTGTTTTATATTTTTGTTTGCTTGTTGCTTGTTTTTTATTATCGGCGGGGTCGCCGACAGAAAATGGGGGGGTAGATTGTGATGGGTAGAGCTCTCCCCTCCCCCCCCTGCCTGTTTGGCCACACCACCTTAATTGGTGATGCCTAACAGGTGTGACCAGGTGCTCTTTAAATGGGAGCTTTTGCCCCACTAGAGCTAGAGGGGGCTTGCTGTAGGTCTCCCACGGCATAGGCACAGCACTCGCCACGTGCGGATGGGTTTGAGCGGAATCTAGAGGTATGTCAGGGGTTTTCTGTTTCATGTTTTAATATGCTTTTTAGCAGTGAAATGTTTATTGGCGTTATTTACCTTTTCTTTCTTTTATACAGGAAATGATCAGGTGGTGCAAGGCTGAGCCTGGTCACTGCTGTTTTTGCCTTTGATTTAAAATAGATTATGGTTACCCAGTTTATATAGTATCTTTGATTATGAATTGCTAATTTGTTTTCTTTCTGGGTTAGTGTCTTTGTTTTGTCCTACATAAACAACCATTACTGCGCCCTATACTGGGGGTCCCTTTAATGCCAGTGCAGGTGGGCATATAGTAGGCCTACAGGGGGTGGCTCACGAGGTGGAAGGCCCTTTCAGTTTATTTTGTTTGTTTGCTGTGTTTTAATTCTTTTTGATTTGCGGTGTTTTCTTTCCTTTGACCTGGTGGTGGCCCCCTTGTCCCCTTTCACTCCCCCGCCCCGGTGGGCCTCAAGTAGTCACCTTGTACTGGTAGAGTACCCCAGTATAGTAATCTTTTTTTAAAGCATAGATTATATCTTGCCATAAAACCGACCAATGTTTCTGGATTGATTATTCCTTTTCTTTTAAATATTAAACCTACTTGTAAATAAAAAAAAACATTGTTACAAAACTGGAACTTCACCTCTCTGCTCCCCTTTCTTTTTCATTACAACTGATATACTTTGGGTGAGAGCCCCAAAGTGACGTTGTACACCCTTGTGAC